CACACACTTCTGCATAATCCGGTATCTCCATCACAGTGTCGTACCATTCCGTCCGAATGTCCTCCCTCGGTTGGTACGCCTCCTCCCATTCTTCGCTCAATGGTTGTGTAGGCCGTTCCTTGTGAAAAGTATCGCAAAAATACTGACGAACTCGTGCTTTGATCTCGCTTGGATCGTCAATGACATAGGTGACAGGAGAGACGTTTCCAGCAGCGTCAGGGTTGATAGGGTCATCATCGACAATGAGGTGGTCGAGGTTCACACGTCCTGCGACGATGTCGAGTATTCCTCGAATCGTCTGCCTTGTATGTGTCTGAAACCGGAGGTCGCGGTTCTCTATATGGGTGTTGATGATATCCTGCACGTTGGCGGCATAATACTCCTGATGGTCCAGTCTCGCTTGCCGCCAAGGCCTTTGCACTTCTCGTACCCAGCCGTCCCACGTCTGCGTCGTTGCCTCCATGTCCGGTACATCGCTCAGTCCTAGTTGCTCTCCGTTCATTTGGTGCCAGTCGACAATCTTGCCATGTACACCCTCCTTGGTCGTCCCCTCCGCCAGCTGTAGTTCGATGAATGTCACTCGTGCGGACCAAATGACACCCCCGATCTCATGGATCTTGTTGAGTAGGAGCTCTTCGCCTTCGGGGGGAGGGGGCCGACCACCGGTGCGGGCGCTAGGGAGATGTGCAAATGCGGAGGACATGACAGTATTACGGAGTAGCTCCCAGGCAGCATTCAGAGGGAATCGTTGCAAATCACTCTTCGAAAAGGGATTCATCGCTTCACCGAGTTGAAAGGCGGCTGGGAACTGGGGGACATTATCCAGCCGTCCGTAGGAGCGGAGACAGCGTTCTATTTGTTCCGCAAAGGACTCCCAAGCCTCATTGTCGGCGTCTTCCGGTAGGAGCTTTTTGTCCTTTGGCCGCTGTGCGGCCAGTTCCGCTTGGTTTGCTGGCCGGATCTGGGTGTGGAGGTCAAAGGTTGCTAGAAACATGGAGTGGTCGCTGCTTTCAAAGTCGTCGGGTTCATAAGTGTTGGTGCGGAGTAGGTATGAAGCCAAACCCGAGGATGCCCATACCATATCTATACGACTGACGTCTGGACTGTCTGGAAGGTGGAATGTGAATAGAGGAGTAGTTGGATGTAGGGAGCGGAAAGTGTCGACAAAGCCACGACTCGACAGCCATGGGTACAAGCTGAGCTCTGGAGTCGAGGTCGTTCTGGTGGTGGAGTTGCGGTCGATGGCCGGATTGACAGCGCCATTGAAATCGCCTAGCAGAAGGACGTGAGCGCCGTCTACTCTGTGCTTGTCGATCTGAGCGGTGACCCAGTCGTGGAGTTGTTGGAAGTCGGCTGGGTATGTTTTGGAGCCCTTGGGAGGGAAGTAACAGTTGATGACTGCCAGTTGGAATCCATGCTTGAAACCGAAACGGACACCGATGCCACGTCCGTTCTTATCCGAGAATGTTGCTGTGAGGTATGTTGCCCATGATTTGTGGATGAGAAGGCCGACTCCCTTCCCATTAAAGTGTGTTGATGTGTGGTTCCAGACACCAGTGTAGTGGTTGCTGCAGCGACGATGAAGAAGATGCTGCTGCTTGTCTGCCTGAATCTTGGTCTCCTGCACACCGAGAATACTGATATTGTGTTGGTTTGCGCGTTGCGTTAAATAATTGAAATAGTTGGTCTTGTTGCCACCTCGGACATTAAACGTTGCCACTGTGAAAGTGCGGAAGGGGTCGTGAAAAGGACTGGGATCGTAGCGCCCAGGGGTGTATGTTGGTATTGGTGTGTCAGACATTACAGTTCGGGGTCGCTTTGGGGTTCCTGCGTCTCCTCGACGGTGTTGTGATAGCCATGTGGGGTGGCGCTATCGTAATGGTCGACCTCTCCATACTGTTCCTCTGTGCCAGGTTGTTGAGACTGGCTGTTCGAAAAGTACTGATCAAATCGATTCATAAGCTGTTTGTTCTCGTTGCGGAGGTCCGTGATCTGCTGTTCATAGGTTTCGCGTTGTCTTGCAAGGTCTGCACGGAGTTCCTGGATGGTCTCGTTCAACGTGTTGAGAATTTCGTTCATGTCTGTTGAGGCGGAGCGATTGTCCTGGGGGGCATCACGAACGACCGCCTTGCCCTTGCGGCTTGGTCCTCTCTCAGTAAACGCGCTCTCCTCGCGTTGGCTGTCGCCCTTGGCAAACGACTTGCCGCCGTGGTTGTTGGGGCGAAGGCTGTTGACTGAATATGCTAACAGTTTCGCAGGTGGTGTTACTGGGCGACCTTGGGCTTTCGCAGCGTCAAGTGCCGTCTCAGCAATGGAAAAGGCGACCAAAGCTGGGTCCGGAGTCTGGGAGTCCAGGACGATGACATGGGTGGGGGCGTCCATGAGTTCAACGTCTTCATCCATCGACCCACCGTCTTCCTCCCTCACTTCTGCCACCTGGACTGGTGCCGTCAAGTTGTTGTTTGGGTGTGTTCCGGTTCCCTGGAGTGAAGACAGAAAATGGGTAAACATGGCCTGCATATCCGCACGGAGAGAGGCATTGTTGGCTTGCATGTCTGCGCGGATAGAAGCGATGGAGTCCTGTTGTTGTTGTTCCAGTTTGGCCATCTGAGCTTGAATAGGAATTGATCTGTTTGTGGAGTTACCAGTTTGAGCAACCAAAGGGGTAGTAGCCGATGCTGCCCTTGACGAGGAGGTGGCCACCGCCGGAGGGGTCGAGGTGCCAATGGTGATTGGGTTGGATACAGCCGAACCTCGGTTCTTAGGGACAGCTGCGGCCGACGCATAGCTCATTCCTGGGGTCGAACGAGTCGCTGTCGATTGTTTCCTGGCAGGCGCCGAGGCGCCACTGTTCTGAACTTGAGTAAAAGGGCGGGGGGCAGTGGATCGAGTCTGAGTACGTGCCTTGATGGTTTGGATGTTGGAAAGACGTCCGATGGTTGCGGAGACATTGGTTGATCTAATGTAACATTCGCTAACAAAGTGGGTCGGGTCTCCACAGTGGCGGCAAGTTGGTTGACTGGCGTTAACCCAGCATGTCTTGTGAGAACCGATAATGACAGAGGCACTGGTGGCAATTTGCTGTTGGGGGGGGGATGAGAACAGGATGTGCGCCTCAGGCTGGCGCTTGCTGGTGTAAATGTTCCGGGGCATGACAATCGAGTGGAAAGGTATCGGGGTAGCATTGGGGTCGCTTGGGTCCGGGTTGCAGAATAACTGGGCGATCTCGACCGGAGTAATGCCGGTAGGGAGAAGCGCAAGCTTCTTTGTAAGGGAGCTGTCGTACTGGACTGGCTCGTTGCCCAGCCAGGTCACCGTGGCGATGTCGTCTCGTACCTGTACGTAGGTCGTATTAACGCTCTTGATGGCCTTAATGGCCTGGTCGGATTCGTAGATGACAGTAGCCGTGGCCATAGTGGCTTTGGCATTTAGAGCGACTTTTACCCGTTCGATTATACCGTATTTGCTCAAACCTTGTATGGTGAGGGATCCTGCCACTCCAAAACTCCAAAGAAATCTGATCTGTAAATTAGTGGCAACTCTTAAGTACATAGATGATATTTTCGATCAGTGACCATAAGATGAATGGAGGATTGGCGCAATTGGCAGCGCGTCCGTCTCCAAAGCGGAAGGTCGGGAGTTCAAGTCTCTCATTCTCCAAGTTTTGCGTCAACGCAACTAAGTGGCTGCCAGGGCAACACCCCGGACGCTTTTTCGTTTTTTGTTACTAGCTGGCTGCTCGGGGGCGACGCCCTGGGCTTCTGCCTTTTTTTTGTGGGCCACTCACTCTATCAGCTTTTAAATTTGCCACTCTTACGAAGGACGGCCAGTGGCCTAGCCAAAGACGTTGTGTTATCGTAGTATTTGTGAGTGAATGTATTTGGCCAAGTTAATCGGTTAACCTAAAGGTTAATCATCACGTCTTTTCACTTTCCATTTTTTTTTCGTCTGTACCTTCTACGACTGCGTCAGCGTTTGTTTTGGTCCTCCACCCGGGTGAGCCTTCTTCGGTTTTATTGCGTTGATTAAACATAGTGTGTTCCCACGAAGCCATGGGAGGACGTCCCTGCGTTACAACGTGTTTTATGCCTCGTCACCTTCTCACAGGAGGCCTCAAGCAGGACCCACTGCAGAGCCATTGTCCTTCTTTCAAAGCCAAGTATTATGGTTATTTTGTCGTGTGCTGCCAGATGTCTGTTCTCGATGAGTCCCCTTTAGGACACCGGGGTTATCTGCAATCGGTGATGAATGAGGCATTCGACAATGAATGAATAGAAAAAATAAGAGAATGAGTCCCCGAGAGGACTCTCCAAAAATTGAATTCATCAGAGAGAGCGGGCGAGGAGATATAGCACCTCCATACCGCGCATAGCTCCGTGCCGCTTCTTCCCAGCAAAACACCATACGGTGAGAGAGGGTGAAGAAAAACGAGCATGAGAAAGGGCCCAAGGAGAAAAGAGAAGACAACAAACAAAAAGTCAATAAATAGTAAAATGCGAGTCATGTGATGGATATAGTGACTGCATCGGCCCGATTGTGGTCCCTGTCTTTTTCATTTCTTGATGGAAATGGAGGTGTGGCCAATGGGAGGAGAGATAAATGAGAACATCGTAGATGCGTCTGACAAACGACAAGGAGAAAAGACATCGCCGAGCACACCTTTTTGCTTCGTTATTCGCTCGCTCGGTCAGATCTGAGCCAATGCGGATAGCATATCCTGTATCTCCCTTACTCTCTTCTTCTTCTTCTTCTTCATCTTCTCCTTCGTTTTCTTTTCCTTTCTCTTCTCGCAATTGTTATCCTTCTACTCCTTCTTCAACTTCCATCTTCATCGTCCACACCATTCCTATCTTTGTTCCTTTCCTCCTTCTATATAACCCACCCTAACCCTTTTTCGTTCTTTTCTCTTCAACCCGCTCTCTCCAATCCTTTCCACTTCAGCAAACCTACCAACCTACCATTCAACCAATCTACCAATCTACCTACCTATATCATACACAATGGTCGCTACTAATATTACCTGGCATCAAGGAGCTTTCACTCGCAATGAGCGCCAAAAGGAGCTCAGCCAAAAGGTATAGAACACTCTTTTATCAATCCATTGCCAACCCTACGTCCTAGTTGCTGCTCGTTGTACCGGAAAAATAACCAGTCTGTACATTCTTCATCCTATCAACTAAACCTCGTCACCTCGGACCTTTTTGTTTTTTTTCGGTAATGATTAAAACAATCAACAACGTCCATCAGGGCTTGACAATCTGGTTTACTGGTCTCTCTGCATCCGGAAAATCGACTCTTGCCTCTGCTCTGGAACAGCACTTGGTCTCGCTCAAGATTGCCGCCTACCGTCTCGACGGCGATAACATCCGCTTCGGTCTGAACAAGGATCTCGGATTTGGCCCCGAGGCCCGGACAGAAAACATTCGCCGCATTGCTGAGGTGTCGAAACTCTTTGCCGACTCGACGCAGATTGCGATTACGGCCTTTATTAGCCCATACATTTCCGACCGTGATGCGGCCCGGAAGTTGCACGACGAGGCAGGAATTCCGTTTGTGGAGGTATACGCGGACGCACCCCTGTCGGTTGTTGAGGAGCGTGATCCCAAGGGTCTGTACAAGAAAGCCAAGGCTGGTGAGATCAAGGAGTTCACTGGCATCTCTGCCCCTTATGAGGCCCCCGTCAATCCCGAGATCCATGTCCGCACCCACGAGGTCTCGATCGAGGAGGGTGTCCAGGTACGAATCAAAAAAAAAAAAACTGAAACGATTAGTACAGTGATCAATTTGTATTTCCGAATTGTGACTGTTCCTCTCCTTCGCTTATGACTAGTGTTAACATTGGTTCGCATATTCCTTCTGATGTTCACATAGATCATCCTCGACTACCTCCGCAAGAAGGAATACATCCCCCAACTGTAAAGAACATAGAATCTCTTGTCACCATTTACCACCATTAAACAGACACCTACACTTGATACGTACAAGTCTTTTTTGTTATTCCATGTTATAGTACAGAGTAATTTTAATGCACAAAGACGAATGGAGTTCGCTTTTTGTATGAGAGTTGGGTAAATCTATTTGTTTTAAAACAAGGGTGGCAACATTTAAAGCTCGGCCTTGTAGAAGGCTTCAAGGTCCTGAACATCCTCCTTGGATCCGAGAAAGATGGGCGACCGAGAATGAATGGTCTCTGGCTGGACATCCAACATTCTCTTGCGACCAGTCGTCGCACGGCCACCAGCCTGCTCGACCAAGAACGCCATGGGGAAGCACTCGTACAGGATGCGGAGCTTTCCGTGCTTGGACTTGCTGTCAGCGGGGTAGCAGAAGATGCCTCCGTAGAGCATTGTGCGGTGGACATCAGCGACCATTGAACCGACATAACGAGCAGAGTAGGGCGACTTCTTGGGGTCTGCAGGGAACTTGAGCGAGTGGAAGTACTTTGTGCAGGCACCATCCCAGTACTTGGAGTTACCTTCGTTGACGGCGTAGATCTTTCCACGCGAAGGGATTTGGATCTGTAAGGCGCGGAGGGATCAAGACGAGACGCGCAAGAAAACATGGAGATTTATCGCTTTGAGTTAGAAAACATTGAAATGATCGGGCGGCATGATTCGTAGCAACGCGAAGAAGAGTGAGCTAGGATGGGGGATTTTTTTTCGTTGTGTAATTTGAGTATTCCTTACATCGGGGTGGGTGAGGATGAACTCTCCGATCTCGGTGTCGAGGGTGTATCCGTTGACGCCCTGGCCAGTGGTCAAGACCAAAGTCGAGCAAGAACCATAAGTACAGTATCCAGCAGCAACCATCTCGGAGCCGGGGCGGAGAACGTCGGAAAGCTTACCAGTCGAGTCCTCCTTCTATTGACAGTCGTAGAGGTAGAAGTGAATAATGGGTTAATCAGGGCCTGGTTTCATTGTAGTTGAAATTGAAAAGCGTCACTCAAAGGGATCAAAAGATGGGAAAACCATAAAAATAAAATAACCACGCAAGAACTGAGTCCCTCTCTTGTATGGCTCATCGTGAGCGAATGAGCGGTGTTCCATTCTCTTGCTCCCTTTCTCTTTGTTGGTGTTCCTCGACTCCGGCTCCCGTTAATGACCAATGTCCAAGGCCTGAGGCGTGCGCGTATGCATCAGACATATGATTGACAGAGGGGGTGTTGTGGTCATGTGTAATCATTCTCACTCCTTTCCTTCCTGGCAACAGCAATGCGAATATAGAACAAGGTCAATGCAATCAACGGACTTACGACTTTGTAGATACCAAAGATGGTTCCGATAGAGACACCGCAATCGATGTTGGAGCTTCCGTCGAGAGGATCAAAGACAACGCAGTACTTGCCCTGATACTGGGACTCGACAAAAATCGCCTCCTCGTCCTCCTCAGAGACCATGACGGCGACCTTGCCAGATGAGCGGAGGGCGTTGACAAAGATCTCGTTGGCAATGACATCCAGCTTCTTTTGCTCCTCACCCTGGACGTTCGACGAGTTAGCCAAGCCGGTCCTATTACGAGAAGAACAGGTAAAAAGAGAAACACATAAGTTTTTGCTCTCCTGTTCATTGAGAGATGCGGCTTGTTCATGGGTTCATTCGTCATGCAATGTTTGCTTTCATTGAGGAGTCATTTCGAGTGGCGTGTAAAACAAATAAGACAGAAAGAAACAATACAGTCAGCGAAGAGAAAGGGAGCGAGCATGAGGAGGACGTACATGCTGATCAAGCTGGCCTTGCGGACGTTTGAGGCGACGAACTTGCAGCCGAGCTGGATGGCGGTGAGAAGGAGGGTGAGGTCTCCGGAGGCCTCCTTGTAGTTCTCAACCTGGTCCTGGAAGACGTGGCGGGTGAGAGTGATCAGGTTGGTCTTTGTGTGGTCAGACATTATTCTTATTGTGGAGTGTTGGGGTTGGTTATGATAAGGAATGAAGGGAGGAAAGAAAAAAAGAAAGAGAGATAGAAAAAGAAAAGAAGAGAAGAAAAGAAAAAAAAGGTTTTCCCATCCGTGTGCAAACCAAAAAATTGTTATATTATTCTTTCTCTTTCTTTTTTTTCTCACACGGATACACTCAAAATAGGGAAAGCAGGTCCCGACCCGACCCTTGCTCTCTCGCTTTCCTCCCCTTTCCAATGGTCGAGGCTTCAATGACTGCCCCCTTCCCTCACCCTTCCTCGCTTCTGCACGCTGCATGTTTTGTCTCATTCTTCAGTTTTCTCCTTCTCTCCTTCTCTCCTTCACTCCTTCTCTTCATGCCCCCAATTTTTTGAATGATTATTCATCTCGTTCGTTCTCTTCTTTATGGCTTAGTCTTTCTTCGTGTCTTCGTGTCTTGCCTTGCCTGTTCTCTTTTTCTTGCGCCCATCCATCTACAGTTTCTAAGCATAGTGGTTTCAATTGCTAATCTGCGCCCTCTCTTTCCACATGCATCCGCATGTTTTCCTTCTTGCCCATTATTTGTCGCCATCAACTGGGGCTCGTCAAGGAAGACGACAATGAAAGATGACCCACGAGCGACGCACATACAACAATGTGTTTCCTAGAAAACCAAAACCCAAAAAAAAATGAAAAAAAAGAGGCAGGGAATCGAGAGCAAAACCCGACCCGCTCCGGAAGCATGTGGACATGATGATTTATTTTTAGTTGGGTGTCTCTATGTGTGAACGATGGAAAGGAGCTGTTGTTGGTTCCTCATGTTAAACTTGACCATTGACGGTATACTACCCAACAGAGGAACACAATGGTTATGTACTTGGCTTGAAAAGAAACAAGTTCAAGTACTGTCCGTTTTCCTCCCCCCTTTTGTTTCCCACGATTCACCTTTTTAATTGTGATTTGGCCATCGGATTGCTGGGTGGCGACAGACTCAACACAAAACGAAGGCTGAAATAGCTAAGCCCCTCCTCCCTCTGCCACAATCTGGATCTATCATCTGCCGTTATTTCCTGACAAATGAAAATGACGCTCTTGGTGTTGGTGTTGCATCCACAATGGCAACCACTTCACGCTCAGCTTTTACAGGAGAGGAGGTCATGGAATGGTCAAGATTAAGGGGTCGATCAATGGCTGCTCGCTTTTACGAAGTCGAAGGTGGCACAATGTGACATTGGTTCTTGTCAGGTGGGGGTGGCGTCAAGTTCGGAAAGTGCCAGCATTCATTAAGGTTACAAAAAGGGGTTTCCAATTGTTAAACCTGAGTGTTGGCGTCATCGCGAACGTTGCACGAGCAACTATCGATTATTGTGCCGTCATACTGGAGTGGGGTCATTCAAACGAGGCATTACGCCAAGGTTGAAGGCATGTGTTTTGTATTGTTTTTGTTTTGTTATCCTAATTCTTTTGCTGACTGTCGCTGTTCTGGGCATTGTGAAGGATGTCGATCAGCTTGAGCTCGTCGATTCTGTGCATCATGGCGACACGGCCGTTGAGCTCAACAACAGGGACATCAAACATGTACTTTTGGGCAGCCTCTTGTCCAGGTGCATAGATATCGATTTGATCGAGCTGGAAGGGAACCTGTGTTGGAAAGAACAGATGGAAGGGCGGCGGAGAGAGAGGCGGGTGGGATTTGTTAGATTATGCGTATGTAAGCATGGAGGAAGATTGACAGAAGAGCTGGGACAAGGCACACACGTCCTCTTTTACTTGTTTACTCTTTTTTCTCTCTCTGCTCTCTCTCCCACACAAAAAAAGAATGGTTCATGCGTGCCAGCATGCCAGTTAAGTCAGGTAGTCGGCCAGTCAAAAATAGGGAGTCAGGGGCAAGCGAAGCAATGACCATGCCTTTGCCTGCACGCGGGTGAGGGCCTCCTTTGCGGTGGTGCAGAGACCGCAGTTTGTCTTTGTGAACAGCGTCAGGCGAAGGAAGGCAGTGGACATTGTTGATCACGGCGACTTGGAGGGAATGAGTAAAGTGGAAAGGGTAGGGATCGATGGAGAGATGAGGAACCAAAAAAAAAAGCAGAGACAGATGGAAGCGAGGGAAAAATCTACTCCGCAAAATAATCAAGGAAAACACATACCACTCAAGAAAGAAAACGACATTGCTCAACTTCAACGAGGTATGGGCATGGTTTGGTTGGATAGGATTGACCCATGGTCATCTCTTTTCTGCGTTTTCGTACATCTTCTTCGTCGTTTCCATCTTCCTCCCTTGTCTTCTTCTTCGTACGGCATCAGGGTGCTGATGGGTACTGATGGGTGATGCATATCTACTGATGCTTGATGCTGATGGCCGATGGCCTTATTGGTCTCAGTGGTTCAGTTTTGCGATATGTTCCGATCTGATCGATGGTGTGGAGTTGCCAGCACGCCCACTCGTAGAGTGAAAACGAGAGATGGGGTGGGTGTGGCCCTTGCCATTTGCCCTCCCTTCTTCCTTGCTATCTTAGATCGCCCGCGTTGTTTATGTTTGTTTTTCTCTTTCTTCTTGATTTTGTTTCTTTCCTTTCTTCTCTTCTCTTTTCTCAGTTTGACTTCCCTTACCTTCCTTCCTTGACGCGACCTATACGTCTTCAACCTCTACCTTTGTTCATTCCTCCTTTTGACATTGCCTCCTCCCCATTGCTCAAGTTTAGTAGTGCAAATACAATTTTTCTTTCATTCTTTGTCCCCCCGCTCCATTTTTTGCATCTAGCATCTCGCCACAACTTATTCTTCTCTCCTTTTATCACTCTTCCACATAACTTCCACCGCTCACACACAACACAACACAACAAATATCCCAGTCAACCATATGTTCCCTCCTGGCACACCGCCAAGCCAGACAAACCAAGCAAGTCATGCAGGCCAGCAAAATGAGGCTGGCCATGCTCAGGAGGTGCTCCTAAATCCAAACCTTCTCAACCCACCCTCCTCCTCGTCCCTCCTCAGCTCTACTGCTGCCGACAGCACCCTCAGCAGTCGTGCCAGTAGTATCCACGGCGAGAGCGCATCAAGCACCATCAGCGAGTCGGGTGAGAGTGTCAGTTCCCTTGGGGGCCTCAACCACGTTAACGACGGCGTTGGTGGGTCCACAGTCCAGCGCAGAATGTCAAGAGCTTACAGCAACCTTGATGGTGACCTTCTTCAACAAGCTCAACAACAGCAGCAACATCAACAACAACAACAGCAGCAGCAACGACAACGGCGCGTCTCGACCAATCCCATCACAATTGATACCGCAGCAGCAGCATCAGCACCAGCTGCTCAACGACGAGCGTCGTTGTTGCCGTCGGCGACGATCGTGGACGAGGACGGGGTGTTGCAGATGGAGATGAAGCGAGAATCATGCTTCAAGACCTGGCTCCGTCGAAGGGTGCCCGTATTTGGATGGCTTATCTCGCCGGGTTACAATCTTAATGACCTCCCCGAAGACCTTATCGCTGGCATTAGTAAGTCCGTCCAATCCCCGGTCTTTTTTTTCTTGTGTTGTTTGACTGACTTTTGTTTTTCCGTTTAACATACGATGCAGGGCACGAACCCAAAAATATTGAAAAGAGAGCGCCAGTGCACAGCATGGGAGGGATCAATGTGATCGAAACACGAGGTTCTGACTTGTCGAGAATATCTCCTGTTTATTCTGGCAACCTATACCATAGCCATCTCGACGGTCGTCATCCCTCAGAGCATGGCCTATGCTATGTTGGCGCCATTGCCTCCCGTCTACGGTCTCTATACCTCCGTGGTTCCCATCCTCATCTACTGCCTCTTCGGCACTAGTCGACATATGCACACGGGAACATTCGCCATCACGACCCTTCTTCTCGGCCAAGCTGTTCGCGGATTGATGGCCAAGGAAAGCTTTGCGGACTTCTCTGCCTCAAATGATTATAGCCTTGCCAGCACTCTTCTCTACGACTCCGCGGCCCCGACGCCGATTGAAGACCCAGAGTACGAACAGCGGTTTATTGGCATGATCCTGATGCTTTCTTTTGTGGTCGGCACCCTCCAGGTCATCCTCTCGCTCCTCCGCGTCGGAGGATGGGCCTCCAAACACCTGTTACCGGATGCCCTCGTGGGTGGATTCAACACGGCCGCAGTCTTTCACATTGGGACCTCTCAGTTGAAACATTTCTTGGGGCTCAAGAACATGCCGTCGCCTCAGGGAGCGTTTGCATTGATCAAGTCCTGGATCTGGATCGGGGAAAACTTTTGGGAAGGCACCAACTGGTACACAGTCGGGGTGGGATCCATTGCGATCCTGATGATGTTGGTCATGAGAAAGGCTGAGAGGAAGAGGAAGGCCGCCTTTGAGCTGAGGTTGCGCAAGGAGGAAATGTTCTTGGTCCAGCAACGACAGGCTATATCAGCAGCTATTGTGAGGAGCCACGAGGAACAGCGAGAACAGCAGCGTCGGTGGCAGCAGCAACAGCAACAAAAGGGTGGAGATGCAGGGATTGGACCATCAACTTCCCAACAAGCAGGAGGCCCTCTCTCGTCCTATCAGGATACATTTTCGACCCAGGCCGCCTTGGCCTCCAACATCTCCCTCAGGACTATGGCAGATGAAGGCAACCAGACTGGGAGACCAGGGCTATCGATCACCTTTGCTCCAGCGGCTACTGCGGCTACCCATACGCCTGGTCAAGTTGAGCAGGCACTTATTGATCCAACTGCACCCGTCGCCGCGGCCAAGGATCGTCCTATCTATATTCCCATCCCCGACATTCTGTTGGCAGTCATTATTTTGACAGTTGTCAATGTAGTCTTTTCACTGGACACCCCACGGTCCGAAGGGGGCATGGGTATTGCGGTCATTGGATCGATCCCCAAGGGCTTGCCTCAGATGGCCTTCCCCGTCAACCTCATTTCGTCGGGCCCTAAGGAATGGTTGTCGCTCGAGTTCCTGCAGAGGATGATCTTGCCCATGGTCCAGCCAGCCTTGTTGATCGCCGTCATTGTTTTCGTCATGTCGTTCTCGATTGCAAAGCAGTTTGGAAAGCGGTATGGATACAAGGTCGATGCCAACCAGGAGATGATGGCTTTGGGATTGGCGTCGATGGGTGGATCGATCTTTAGCGGTTACGCCTGTACTGGCAGTCTGACGAGGACGGCGATCTTGGCTCAGTCAGGCGGCAAGACACCCTTGGCCAGTATTGTTGGTGTCATTACTGTGACGCTGACGTTGATATGCTTGACCTGGTGTTTTGAGCGGGTCCCCAACACGGTGCTGGCGGCGATTGTTTTGGTAGCGCTCCAGTCGTTGGTAATGCAGATCACGGAGCCTCTGAAGCTGTGGAGACTGGGCCAGCGCAAGGCGAGTCTGATTTGGACGGTGACCTTTTTGGGAGTCTTGGTTGTCAGCGTAGAGCTTGGAATCGCAATCGGAATCGTCGTTGTTTTATTGGCGACTACCTTTGGATGGGCTACTACACGCTACCGAGGCGAGGACGACTCTGATAGAGACGCGTTGCTCCAGCGCCAGCGCCGGCGTTCTTCTACCGGACGGAGACAGAGCCAAGGCGTCGTTCCGGGTTTGGATGCCTCTGCCCGACGTGCAGGAGGTCCCGAGGATGCGACCGAGTCCTTGTTGAACCATTCTGCGTCAGCTTCGTCAGTGAATGATCTTGCGCCTGTTGAGGTAGGAGTCAGTCAGCAGAGGAGGAGACCTTATGGCAGCGGCGTGCATTTGTCAGCACCTGCTTCTCCGGCGGCTGATTGGAAGATGAAGATGATGAGGACCAAGTGGGGCCAGCGGATAGGATCCTTCCTGGGACTTGAACAACCCATTTTTACGGACTCTCTTCATGCCAACACTGACGACGATGACTATTGAGCTGCTTCAACGTTGATATCCGCATATTTTTTTCTTCTATAATAAACGCACACGTAGTTATGAAAATGACGATAGCAAATGTATCTGCCACTCTATTATGGACTAAAGTATGTTCCTGTCGGGTCAGGTTGAAGGTAGGGTAGCCTCCGTTGGCTGGGTTTGTTTTTATGCGGCAAAGGACTTTTTCCAGATGTTCTGAGAATACTTGAAAAGATTCTCGTGCTTTTTGACCATGCGGGCCAATTCGCCCGACCGACCACCATCCTCTGCGTTGCGGATCCTGGGCAAGGTCAAAATAACATGCAGGTACGAGAACACGATGGCGTCCAGACTCGAGGGGGTAGACTTTCCAAAAAAGTATTCGTTTTCGCCCAGTTGAACAGAAAGGGCCTCGATCGCTGTAGCGGCTTCCTCGAAGATGAGCTCCCGGTCGATTTGAGTCCTGGTCAAGAGCATAGAGTGGACAATATTGGATTTGGACATGTAGTTGAGGAGTTTGCCGAGGTAATAGTTGTGGTGGCCAAAGTAGTGTTGGCGTGTCGTTCCCTGGAAGTGAGGAGCCTCGAACCACAAGGTATATTGCTAGGAGTGTCCAGGATAAATAGAGAGTATTCAGCTTATGAGGATGTTTGCAGAAGACATTTTTTAAATGTTGGTTGTGAAGCAACAAGAAGTCAGAAACGCAGTTTACGTACAAGGGCGGCATGGATTTTGGACTCTGCGAGAGTAGAGAAAGCGACTGCCTCAGCCGCCTCGTGAATGTTCAAAGATGCAGAAGTGTCGGATTGACCCTTGTTCTCCTGAACCCATTGTTCGAAACCCTCATCCGTAACCAAGGATCCGTTGGGGAGTGCCAAGAAAGGGAGTTTTCCTGAAGGCGACATTGTTGGTTCGAACGCAGGCTTGATATCGTAGTCAATCTGGTTAAACTTCAAGTACGCCTAGTGAGAGTTCCAGAGAGAAGAAAAATAATATATGATGTTAGTCTCCTTTTTCTCCACTCTCACATCTTTGGTGGAGTAAGGGAGGCTTACCATCCACTTAAGAGAATCGACGTCAAAGCTTCCAACAGAAGTCTCCTTGTTCTTCTTATCAGTTTCGGTGTCCTTGTTCTCCTGCCTCTCGGTCTCCTGTTCTCCAACCTTCCAGCCGGGAGCGAACGCGTAGAGGGTAGGCTTGACAAGGGGGAGACGCGTATGGAGAGCGGGCGACTGCTTAAGAGGAAACTTTGCCAGGAAACTATAGAAGGGATGGCTCTCGACATCTCCTTTGCCAAAAACACCACCGAACTTGAAAGTGCGTTTGGTCTGGTCCGTAGTAGTGGCGGTAGAAGATTTCTCTGACACCTCATCGGACTCGGTTGTTGAGGAGGAGGTGGTGCTAGTAGCGGTGGCGGCGGCGGCCGCGGCGGCGGTAGCGGTGGTAGTGGTAGTAGTGGATGATCCAGCTACGATTGACTCTGCAGAAAAACCAACGGAGAAGTCCTTGAGAGTGGACTCGCCGGACTCTGAGGCTGAAGCGGTTGTAGAGTGGTTGTGGTTGTGGTTGTGGGTGAGCTGCTGGCTGTCGGTTACTTCCTTGACGGAGGAAGTGGTTGTGAGGACACGCTTTGTGATTTTACGGGTGGTCTTTTTCTTGCGGATGATGGATCCGTCTTCCTGAATTTCATCGATGGACTCGATGAGGGGCTCTGAGGAGATGATCTGTTCTTCGTGATGGTCGCTCATGGTTTGCTGCTGTTCCTGGCGATGGTGCGATCAAGGAGGAGGTCAAGGTTGACTCTCTTGCCGCCAACAGGTTTTGAGACTGCTGTTTTTTTTAACATTTCAAAGAACAGGAAAAAATAGTCAAAAGCGAAGGCTGCACTGATAAAAAAGAATACATGAGCCATCAATTGATGCCATCTGCGGGCCTGAACTAAGAACACATTTTCGTTGTTGGTAGATAGGTATGTAATGAGAAGAGAATGCTGTCATGCCAGCTATGCTGATGTGGAGTTGCACTTCTTGGCGGCTTCTTGCTCAAGCACAAGGGCTGCTCCGCGGACAAGAAGGACGTGCTCGACCGAGTGAATCCTCTCCTGCAATGCCACCAAGTCATCCTCAGGCTTGATCTCGACCTGCTCGACCAACAAAGGCTCACCTCCGTCGACCTCCTGAATCACACGGTGGACCATTATTCCTGTGTGCTTGATCTCTCCGTTCTGGTACGCCTCAAATGCACGCTCAATTGCTCGGGCACCATCAAACTGTCCTGGCAGAGCTGGGTGGAGGTTGATCAGAGGGGTGGTGGGGAACTGTTCCAGGAATGTGGGCGAAAGAATATGCATGAATCCGGCAAGGACGACCAGGTCAGGCTTGGCGGCAACGATCAGTTGGGCGAGGTCAGCATCGTATTGGATCCTGGACTTTCCGGCGATGGTATAGGGCTTCAGGGCCAGGACCTTTGTGGGGATACCAGCCTTTTCAGCTCGCTCAAGACCAAAGACCTTGGAGCGGTTTGAGATGACGAGGGGGATCTCTGCCTTGAGGGATCCGGCCGCGATGGCATCGATGAGGGCCTGAAGGTTTGAGCCTGTTCCTGAAATCAAGACGACGACACGAGGGGCCATTTTGTGATTGTTTGTCTTGGTTGATGAGTGCTGGAGGAGGAATAAGGACAAAGGAACCCAACACAACAGCGACATTATCCTTGTTCCCAATTTGGTGTTCCCCGCAAACGCAAGCGATGTGACTGCTGCTGAAAGGGTCAACAAAAAAAAAAAGCAGCAGTCTTGTATCCTTCACTTCACACTCTTCACCTCTCTGTCATTGTCGGCCATGCACATGCAAAGCGTGAGGAAGAAGAGAGGCGGCAGAGCAGAAAAGGCAAAACTCGCCCCCCTCTTCCACTTTCAGCGCACTTGGGTGAACGCCCCCAACCAGAACCTCCATCTCGAACTCGCTGGACAGCTCCTCCGCAGGTCCCTCGCCCGCAAGGACTACGAACGGGCCTTCACCATCTACGGCACCCTCACCTCGTGCAAATCCTCCAACGAGGAGCTCCTTTGGAAGGTAATAACACCCCTAGTAATATGTTTCTTCTTGTTCAGATAGATACTTACCAGTCAGCCGCCAGCACATTGTCGCACCTCGCCCTCCTCTGCTCAACTCGGAACACTAAAAAACACTTTGCCACCTCCTCTATAGGTTGGGTCTGAAATCCTGAGTCGAAACAAAGAGTATGAACCGACATGCTTGCAGTTCTTAAAGCTTGTGTTGGCACAGACGAAACATTATGTAAGTATCTTCATTTTTCTTTATCAATTAATGTCATTGAAGGCTATGGACAATGTTCGTGGGACTTCCTTACTAATTACTGTGGCTCCGTTTGATGAACTTCATAGAAGGACTCAGTAGCAGTGGAACTTGCCTTGTACCAGATGAGGTGTGGACACATCAATGATGCCCGCGCGACCCTGGAACCGTAAGTTACAGTAACCATGAAACAGGAATCAAGAACGTCCATGGATGACCCAGTCGATTAAAACTCAACCCACTGCGCTCTAACTTTACTTATATAGATACATCAACGCATTTGCTTACAAGGATAACGCCCAACTTCAAGGATATTTTGGAGTCATCGAGTTTGCACTGTTCAACATGGCCGTGGAGGAGAAGAGAGCAAGTCGCGGATCATCGTCCCGAACGAGTCAGCATGCAGGTTACCACCACAGCGGGTCATTCAATCTGCTGGGCGATTCGCAGGAAGGAAGCGATGAATACGATGACGATAGCGACAACGAGTCCACCCTATGGGATGCGCGTATCATGAGCCACAAGCGCGGTGCCATAAAGCATTTGGAGTTGGCTCTCAAACTGGACAGTCGAAACGATGGCTTCTTGGCCTACCTTGTCAGGCTGAAGTGTGGCAGAGTTGAAATGACCGGATGGGACAAGCGCAGATCATCTAACAAGCGCAAGACAGCCATTCGAGAAATGCGGGCATATCTGAAGCAGTTTTACAACGACAACACCAGCAGCATGCTCGCATTACAGTAAGTTTTCAACGAATCGTGGAAATCTTGTAATGGGAACATGAACATCACGTTTAGATGCTCTTTAACGTGTTTTTTAATATTTATATTTTATCTCTATTCTAGACTTTTGACTGCACTGGAGAACCGAGAGCGACAAAACACATTGGAGCTTATTCTGGCGCTGAATCCAGCTGCAGACTCTGAGCTCTATGTCCGACCTCTCGTCAAGTTGATGTGGAAGGCCCTTCCAGCAGAGCAGATGGATATTATTTCCAGGATCGCAAACACTAAACATTCTAAAGTATTATACGCGAAAGGATCAAGAGACAGCCAGGACGTTTTTCATGACCGAGCCTCCACTGGTCTCTCGCTTGAGCAACGGACAGAATCGGATACGAAAAATTCGGTGGACGAAGACGAAATAGCCGGACAGACCAGGAGTGCAATGCAGGAAGGCAAGGCAGCAAGCTTTCTTAGCGGACACCAATTGGACGTGAGTCCTCTCCAACCGATTGCGCAACTTTTGCTCACGCGAGCAGAGTACAATGCCTTGAAGCTCTGGGAGGAACAAGAGATCTGTAAGATCGCTTTGTATTACGACACCTTTCGGTAGGTTTATAATTACTCTACGTTACCTTCGCTTCTGATGTCTAATTTGGATGTCAAGAGTACTGACATATGCACTGCTATCATACCTTTTAGAGTATCACAAAGAGCTTTTTCAAAAACAGCAGAGTCACGGACGAAAGTAGTGTCCTTTTTCAACCAACTCCCCGCCGACAGACAACCTTCCTGGTACAGGTCCATCGCTTCCATCCTTAGCGTTTAAGGCATCCATTAATGAGCCTTTGTATAATACAATTTTTTACACTTGCATGTTTGTAGTTTTTCCATATCCCATTTTTTCAGCCATTTGATCTGTGTGCCCAAGATATAGGCCGTTCATGTCATTTTCGAGGACAAGGAAGTTAGCCCGCAGTCGTCAAGAAGTTCGTTTCTGACAACACTTGGCGAGGGAAAGAGACCTCTCCCCTCCCCTCCTCAACTTCGATATCGAAAACTAACCGCTTGGGCTGGATTGATTGTGACTTTAGGGTGATTGAGATTGTATGGGGTGGATCATCGAATCGAAAAGTTTAATGTGGTTGTTGTACATGAATAAGTCACAATTTCAGACTGTGGCAGTTGAAGGTCCTCCTGACATTCCCGTCGATACCCACAAAGCCGTAGGCTATCGCCTGTTTTTGAGCAAGGAGACGCTTCTACTTTGAGATGTCACTGTCTGAAGCCTTCCGTGACGATGAGGAACTTGTTGACTCCTTGATTGGACGACGTGCTGGGTCCAATTTCTCTTCCATGGCATCGCTGATATACAATCCGGCTGAAGCGAACGCCATCACGCCTAAATGCGAGATATCGTGTAAGGAGGTGCGTAAGATACAATTGTGAGTTGACTGTGACAAAACCTACGTTGACAGGGGGTGGTTGCTTGTTGACCAGCGAAGAGCGCATACGAAGACGCCAATGGCGTTTGGTATTTCGCTTACCAAGACCGATGTACATGCGGGTGCGAGGTGGCAAGGCCTAAAACGTTGGAGCAAGTGTTTAGGAGGGGCAGGGTAAAGTGATTAGAGTGTCAGGTACTGGACTATTGTAGTAGTTGGCGTCTTATTGACGTATCTAATCCTTGGAAGTGGTGTCCAGCAAAGTATTCAATACGGCTGTCAACTTGTCCCTTTGTTCCTATTCCACGGTTGAGCCAGCCTGCTGTACCTTGTACTGCTCCCAGACGGATGCCATTGTGTTGAATCGAGTGCTGAAAGTGAAGTAAATGAACAACGATCGCTGGGTAAAAAAGAACACCCGAAAGGAGCACGTGATCAAAAGGCGAACATGAACCCTCTCACCTTCTTAGCAAGGGCGAACATAACTGTTGCGACTTCCAATCGACCGCCTTGTCCGTTTTGTCAAATGGTGACCGGATCCTTTCTCTTGAGGCGCTTCTCGATCAACTTTGCCTTCCATTGGTCATACACCCATTCTCGTACGATGGCGGCCAACTAGAAATATAACGGGAAAAAAACTTTTCTTAAAGTGGAGAAGAAGGAAGCGAAACATGGGTAGCTTACAAAATAGCAAAAACGATCCCGCAGATCATCCAAAAGTATGCACAGTTCCGGAAATTCTTTAAAGTCGGTGCGTACACTAGAAAGACAATGTAGTACAATGTTAGACGCATCAAGTGCTGAAAAAGGTGAGTGAAATCAAAGGGATCGGGAGAAAGATGATGGTAACTAGAGCCAGCCGACGCATCGACTCATTGGTATCGTATGCAATGAGATTGAAGATCTAATGTACCGAGTAAGCATAGAGAGGTCAAGCTAATTCACATCAATCGAAGGAGGTTTAAAAACCTTCGCACCACGCGCAACAATCTTACCATGTTGATCAATTTCTCACATTGACTGAGCATGGTATCGGTCTCCTCCACCATCGTATTGCAGTGGTCCATTACGTCGCCCATGTACAGTACATTAGTACTGTGCAAGATGAGCTTAATGGCTGCCTCAGCCATTCAAGGAACCCGTCATTGCTCAAGTTGGCCTTAACCTCGCATTCGGTCTGGTTCACATCGAGGACGCTAACAAATAAGGTAAGGACGTGATCAACGAAAGCGAGATACACTCCCAAGACGCTAGATACTCAAGGAGTGCATGACTGAGAACTTACATCGATACGGTTAAATATGCTGTTCATGCTGGACACATCGACCCCTTGTCCCCGCATCGTAACCTCTACTAATCAAAGGGAGATTGATCGTTAATACTCCTATACCGTTTTTTCTTTGTCCTGCTTCAGTCACAGAGTGCGGAGCTTACTGGGAAAGTCTTTGCATGGAAGGCTAGATGGGGCTCCTTTAAAATCCAGCACCAGATCCTACAGGGTACGATTGGGTCCGTCGGGTTTCTGATGTTATCCTGTCGGGCGATGTTGGCGATTCCTCTGCCTCTCTATTTCTGTTGGGATATGACGTATGCTCTGTTGTTGTGATGCTGAAGGTGCTGCTGGTGACCACTCTGGTTCTTTACCCCCAAAGAGGACGATGATAAAGACGAGGAGGCCGAGGATCCGCCATGGCTCCGATAACTGCGCGAGTTCGGGCCATAGTTTCTGGATGTCGAGAATGTCGAGTGTTGCTGCTGAAAGCCGCGTGGATGTGTGCTCGCAACGTCGTGAATTCTCATTTGCAAAAGCAGGATCGAGGAGAAACAAGAAAGAAATGAGAGACAAGCTGATTTTGTTGCCATAACAGCAAAAAAGAGATATGGAGAAAATCATGCCCTTTGCTCGAGAGAACAAAGGGATACAAGCATTCTTCAACCTGTTTTTTTTGTTCGAGTACACGGGAGAGGGGCTAGGGAATAAAGAATATTGGTTGCCTTCCATTCCACTCTCCTTTTCTAATTAAGCCCCTCTCCTGCCAGGCCACAAGAGGGGGCGAGCCCCTCTCACAATGACTATGCGATGGTAGGATAACACATTTGAAGCAGGATGCTTTGGCCAACGCTCATCCATCAAGGGAGACATGATTATCCAGAAAGAAAGGTTATACCAGTCTGCCAAGGTGCAGATGCCGCAGTTGAGAAAAATATATGTGCGAAATGGTTATTGAACTAACCTAAAATGCAACTCCAAGACCTGTCTTCTTGTCCTTCCGATCCTTGTTCTTGCCGCCTTTTTCCACACCCGATGATTGTTGATGCTGTTGCTGATGAAGTGGCGGGAGCTGTTTATCCTTGCCTCCTCCACCAGATCCACCCGCCGCCTCAGCTCCGTTAGCCTGATCCGCATGACTGCTCCCCTTCCGAAATGGCCGTCCTGACAACTGAGCCTGGGCCTGTGCCTGCGCCGACGGCAACAGTCCAGCACCTGCTCCCGCAGCATTGGGCATGTACCCATACCGTCCCTTGACGATCCACATCATGTATGCATCATATCGAGCTCTCGTTCCCGAATTCGTGCCCCAGTACGGATTCAAGCAGGTCTGGCCTACAGTGTACAGCGTTAGCTTGGGCAGCTCGACATGAGCGGTATACAGGACCATCTCGGATTCGCTCGGGGCCTTGATGGTCGTCTGCAAAGGCGCAAGCAAAATAGGAGGTTCGGGCATCAGGTTGTCTCTCCAGTGCTGACCAGTTAAAGGCAAATCTGGCGACAAAGGTGACGTCTTGGATCCAGAGGGTCCGTTTGATCCAGATGTCAGCACTCGTATGCGACCTGTGTCATGACCATTATAAGCCCCTGAGCCTGGACCGATTCCTCGCAAGGCTGCATAGTAGAACTCCTCTTCCTCATTCAAGTCTGTTGTCCCAATCGTAACGGTGGATCCCGAGGAGCCTCCGTACGCTTGCCGTTGAGCCCCAATCCACCCTGGTCTTGCTGTCGATGGAGAGGTTGATGCTGTTCCGCCTTTGGTTCGTTGCTGGGGTGGTCCTGGAGGGTATTGCATCTGACTGAGTCCGTTGGCCACCGAGCCCGAGAGAGGAGTTGGCGCAGCTGTGTTGGGCGCAGTTCCAGCAGGCCATTCTTCCCTTTGACTTGCTTGCGCATTGATCCCGTACGAGGCAGCGCCTTTTGTCGGAACAGAGTCAAACCTGATCGACTTGAATTGTTGGGTGTATCTATTCACGATCGAGAAGGTTCAAGCAAAGCGCCTATGGTTAGCGAATCAGGTTTAAAGAATGATAAAGTAACTCTGCATTCTATCTGAGAACAATGACCTGTCATGTTACCTTTTGTATTCCTTCGACTCGTGCGAGGTTACATCCGGAATCAAAGACCTTTTGACCATCTCTTCGATATGTGACCGACCTTTAGTGGTTCCGCCTTCAATGACCCCCGCTGAATGTCCGTCCTTGCCACCTTCCGCCCCGCCTCCAGACTTGTCATCCGCAGAATCCGAACTCTTGGTATCTGTTGACCCTGGGACAAAGTTAGGATCGTGAATGGCAAACTGTGGTAAGTTGGTCCAGACATTCTTGGTCAGTTCCCACTCTTCCTCCTTGGTTCGGGGGATGTGGGTAGGTAGCCGAACCTTGCCATCCTGACCAAGGTGGTGACCAAGCGTTCGCCCGCTGCCTGAAAGCGAGGCCTTCTCGTCATACTCGCCATGGTTAACTGGGAATGAGGCGATTGATAGGCGATTGCTGCGAGCATGATGGGCAACGCCGTCCTTGTGTCCTGACTTTGAGTCGCCGTCTTTCTCGTCGTTCTCATCTAGACTAGACAGAAAGCCCTTCTTGCGACCCGTGCTCAGCGGAAGCGTTTTGGACCCATTAGAATAGTTGGAAGATGCAGCCCGATTCTTGCTGCTATTGTTATTATTGCTCAAGTTCTTGTCATTGGTGCCAGTGCTGTCTCCTCCTCCTGAAAGTCCCAACCAGCTAAGCATTGACCGCTTCTCCGACTTTGCCGCTGCCTTGGCACTGTTAAGCAAGAGTAAGAAATACCGTGGTGAGTGTGCTATCTTGTGCTGCATCAAAACTAATACAGGCCTTTGCACCAGCAGACTATTGGCACTTACTTCATCTCCGCTTGTGAGAGCAGATGATTCTGCCGTACTTCGAATGGACTTTGCTCAGATATATTCTTGACGCTACAAGGCAAGTAAGAGATGTCTCAGTACCTAACGTACATGCGCTTGTAATGATTATGGAGGTCACTCAATGGTGCAAACTTACTTGGGTGGTATATAGCGGCTGGTTGAGTTCATGTTGTAGGCAAAAAGGCGCTGAAACGAGGTCTGCACTTTCGGCCGATAGTATTCGTCCCAGTACTCCTCCCATCCTCCTAAAGACGATTCCTCGTTAGCGTCGCCATCGCAGGCGTCGAAGCCATCATGGACAAACTTTTCTCCTCGTGTGAACTGCATGCTGCCTGGACCACTCCGTGAGGATGTTGCCATTGATGACCTTGATCTGGAGTTTCTGAGGTGGTGCCGAGGATAGTAACGCTGCATAGACGACACGGAGGAAGACGATGACATTGGCAAAGCGTTAGGCCTGCTCCCTTCCCCATCTCTCAGGAGAACAGGGGGAGCCACGATCCGCTCCGTAATATCCATCATCACACTCTCCGACGATCCTGGGGGCAAGTTCTCCAAAGTCAGAGTTGTTGAAGATCCCGTACTGGCAGATTGAGGTCCATGATCCGGTGAATGCGCTTGTTGTCTGTGCCCGCGAGTTAGACCTGCAGGATCAAGTTGCATACCCGCTATAGAATGAACGAACGAATGCTTGGAGGAAGCAGAGCTTGATCTCCGGATTCCATGTTCGTCATCGTTCAAAGACGATGCGGACTGTTCAGACAAGACTGACTGCATGCTGTGAACGCGATCATTCTTGCCAAGCGGCCGTGTCCGATGTCCATTGGATATAAACTCGTCTTCATCTTCTGACCGAAGGTTCTCTATATGGTGAGAGCCGTCCCCAGAGTGCTTGGCGCTGTACTGTTTCAAGTTCGGATCGTACTTGTCCAGCCGGTCATTACTGTCGTCCCGCTCCAGTCCACCTTCTACTTCACCAGATCCAGAGGTGCGCTGTGGGTCCATATCGTAATCATCGTCATCATTGTCATCCAGTGAGTCGTCCTCGTCTCCGTAGATCAGTCTAGAGTCGTCATCGTACCCGGCATCATGAAGACGGAAGTGGTCATAATCCTTCTCCTGTGCCTCCGAAAAGCTCTTCATGGCCAAGACTTCCTGTGGGAGGAGCGCGTCTGGTGACCACCACTTGGTGTAACTTTTCCTGTGCTTTTTAAGCTCTGGGTCGGTAACGTTGTGTAGGTGATAGTCTCCTGGAAGTTCCCACAGCGCCGGTCCGGTGCCCTTCTGAACACGGTAGTTGCCCAGAAACAAGTTCATCGCATCTTGTTTCTCCGCATCTAGGAGAGTTGAAGTTAAAGTTCTGTTAAAGCATTGTCTCCTGGTGGGACGATCCTTATTCTGCGCAGGGCAACGTCGTGTCGTGCAACCTACCTACGAAGCTGTTGCTGTAGAACCGACGGATACTCTCGATCATGTCTCGACTTTGACTCGTCCACTGGTTGATTTTTCGATAAGTTTCCATGGTGTTGACCAGATGAGACCCTCCGTATTGAAGCGCAATGGTGTCACCGTGGTCATGGTACATCTCTGTCAGCATGTTGACCAGGTCACAGTCGAACGGGACCACTGGCTCCGCGATAAGACCCAGCGAATACAACTGGAAGAATTGTTGAAAGGTACGTTGCTTAGTTCACCTGAGTTGTTAAAGAAAGAATAGTTTTTCTTGCCAGCATATTTGCATATAATCAATGATGTTTTACCTGGTGCCCAAGGGCACATTTTGCAATGATAAACTGAGCTGCATTGGTACGATCTAGGCAATCTATGCAATTTGTTCGCACTACACCGTTTTGCAATCCTGATCCGTAGATGATGTTCTTGTGCTGCTGCCTTGCCGAGTCTTGGTTGTAGCCGCTGTGAAAGAATCCTGTTTTCGCGAATGCTCGCTCGGCAATAATCTCCAACACTGAAATCACGTTTTCATTGGGACTAGAGATAGAGCGTGCAAGCAATATGGTTAGTCTACACGAATGTCAAGTGCTCAACTAACTCGTTCTCATGCAATTATCAACGTGGGGCAACTGAAAAGTACCTCTTGGATGCTCTTGACATATCCCACTTGATGTGCCAGATCTTCTTCTCGTCTGGTAAGAACTGGTTAAGGTACTCAATGCACTCAGAAAACTCTTTCAATAGCAATGACTCTCTTGGCGTTTTTTCCTTGGCCTTGATCAAGTTCAAAACAATGCAAGGAGCTCCATAACGTTTGAACATATCGTCGAAATGCAGAGCCGCGGCAGAAAAGTAAGGGTCCACGACATTGAGTTCAATCGGGGGTTTTGGAGACATGTTAGTTCCGTCTTGAACCCAGTAAAGTGGAATTGAGCCGCGATGCTGAACAAACGATGTATGGTTAGGATTGGCGTCGAGGGATCCTGCACCGTAAAACGAGGTGGTAGACATTTCCGATACGATCTGCTCTGTTTCGACGTCGTTGGCGACATATCCCTAAAAAGGTACCAATCGAACAATAGTGCGTTTTGTCAGGCTTCGTTTGAAGGAGACAGTTAGCAAAGGATAGGGCAGTTTCTTACCCTGTCGTTGGCTCCTCTCTTCAGGAATCGAGCTCCCGCAAAGAAACGAGATCGCCGCGCAATCAAGGTGACATAGACGTTTCGACCCAGAATCGAGAGTTCTATTGATACAGAGTAATGTTAATACATTGCGTCCAGTTTGGCAAATATATATGGAACGCGACTGAAAATGAACGAGGAAATTATTTGGCGGGCACTCACTCGACTGGTCGACAAAGCCATACATAATGGGAAGAGCCCACTGATTCTCGATCCCCGTCTGCGCACCAAAAGCGTTTTCAAGGAGATATTGATTCCAGACAAACATGCGGTTTCGGCCCTCGACCTGCGGGTTTCTGGTCATGTTCCATTGCAGCGTCCTTGTAATGTCGTACGAATACGAAAAGTAAAAGTTCTTTGTCAAGTCCACCATCTGGAACATCTGCAGGTATCGTGCCTCGTCCGAGTTCTTGTCCAGCTTTGAGGTCGGCGTTGTCGAGGAGTGAATAGAGATTGAGGATGTGGCATCGATATGGAAGATGTAATGGCCTCCAATGAGCGCGACGGGGCTTCTCTTGGTGATAAGTGTGATGTAGTATCCCTCCGTGAACCTGACAAACCCTACAATGCCATAAAACTTCGTGATCTCCCGCATCCCTCCTGTCGAACGGTTGCCGGTGGCTATCATCTCGAGGAGGTCGTCAACCTGGGCCTTGGAGTAGACCATTTCATCCTCGGTGATGCTGAGCTCACTCGGCGCTGTGGTGCGGTCGATTTTGAGGACTCTGAACCGTGTTCCTGCGGGAGCATTGGTGCCGACAATGTAGAATCTCTTTTATAGGAGCATGCAAGGTGGAAGCACGTAAGGAGAAGAGGTTGAAGGTCAGAGACCGTGCATGATATGGATACGAGTGTTGTGCCAAAATAAAATCAAGCCCAAGGATTTATTGTCTGTTTTGCTCACAGTTTTGGTCTCGTAGAGAACGAAACGGTTGAGGACAACATGACCAGGCCTGGCTGGCGGAGGGGGGAACTTGAAGGCGGAGAATTCAGACAGGCCAGGAAGCGAGCCAGGCGATGTGTCTCCTGGCACGGGCATAGGTGTAACAAAGGTTGGAGAGGTGCGGTGTTCCTGGAAAAATATAGGGCCAGTTGATGGAGTAAGGGGTATTGCGGCAGGAGTTTGAGTGTTTAGAGAGGTGAGGATGCGCGCGTGTGATGATGATGAAGTAAGTGGAGCGAGAGAGAAAGAGGCAGAGGAAGTAGATAGGCAGAGCACTGGGAGAGAGAAGGAGAGAGCGTACCACCATGACCAACCAAAGGGGTCACGCCTTCGAGCAGGCGATTGAAGGTCACAGGTGGGAGATACGGTCGCAAATGCTACTCCTTTCTCTGTCTTGCCGTTGAGGAAAGAGGAAGGAGAGAAATCAGATCAGAGACTCCTCCCATCTTTCCCCACACGAATAAATCAGCCTTTGCTCCCATCCACCACACCACCCATCAACAGGGAGAAGAAGAAGAAGAAACAAAAGCGACTGCTGTCAGGAACGGAAGGTACACACACACACGCTCGCATGGCTCATACCTTCATCCCTAATGGATCATTAACTCTTTATTATTATTACAATAATTATTATTATTGCCTTTTTTGTCCCACAGTCATCAAAGGGATCCATTATATATTTCAGGAGAGTCCCTTTCTTGCTTGTCGATGGCAACAACGCTCAGGGCTCGATCATGTTCCTCGAGCAGATGGATGCACCCTAGCCATACAGCGTTCCACTCAACACCATCCTCTCGAGCAACGAGTCGACAGAATATTATTATTGCTGACCAGACGGGAACACCATCAGGGAGATTGTGTGCCCCCCCCGGTCCAAGGCGGCCGCTTTCTGTCGTTGAGCGGATATGTTCCGTGCAAAGATTCCAGTCAAGACGCACTATGACGACGGCACAATCGTCCACAGGATCGACCATTGGATCGGGTATGTAGACAGTTTATCAGTTTCACGAACCCGATTGATCAATTGATCCATTGATCCAAAATCAGTGATACGAGACATCAAGTTGACCGTTCTTGCTTGATCATCATATCTGTTGCGGCTCTTTAGGGATTACTCGGAGGCAGTGCGTCGCCAGTCCAAGCAGGCGCTTTCTCCACTCTGATTCACACGCCATTGTCACACCTGCTCATACTCCTTCCGACACCGCCACCACACCTCTACGACTTTCCTCATCAGCAAAGGCATCCCTACGCAATCCATGGACTGCTGCCGAACGCACCATTCGGAAACGATCTGAAAGAATTGTCACTCTGAAGGAATGGCGAGACCCCGTAACAGCGACCGCCTTCGTACCCATGACTGCATACTCCCGCACCACTCCTCTCCACCCACGCCTTTTCGAGCTTCAACTACATCAGGATGAAGGTGCCGCTCATTCATCCATCTACAACAGAGCTCTCGATATCTGCAGGATTGACCGCGCCGATTTCAACAGATATGACTTTTTGTTTATTCTTGAAACGATCCAGGATTACTCCACGAGCCAGCAACAATTTTGGGAGTCCATCTCCGTCTTGGCGCGTTCATCAATGGCTCGCATGGGCAAAGTCGGCGGCGAAGAGTCACAGCTATGGCAACGAGCGATCGCTAGCGCAGTTCTGGGAGTCTTCTTGAGGCAGGATCAGACGCGGTTTTTGCGTCAGGTCGAGATTTTGGCCCAGAGTTCCGTGGGTTTATCGGGAATCGAGTCAATGACCCATGCGGAGGATGAGTCATTGCAAGATTCACAACCGACAATGTCAGATGCAACGATCCTTGCCTCCACCATGCTGGACAGCCTGCTTCTGATGTTGAACAAGAAGCGCGCCATGGACTTGTTCGAGGCCTTGGGAGAGAGCGATGTTGTTTTACCCAGTCGTTACCTTACCAGCTTTATTCGAATCGCGGTCAGCCAACTCGACGGATTTCTTCTAGAGCGGATCGGGAACATGCTTCTTAGCAACGAGAGGTTCTCTCAGGACTTTCCGCGGGATACAACTGTCGTGTCGGGGTCTCGGGCGAGACCGATACATCTCTCCGCCAAGGCCATGGATTCCTTCGTCCATGGGGCGTGTGAGAACGAACTTTTTGATCTCGCAAGGACTGTGTTTGATCAGACTCTGGATGCGGGGCGAAGATACAGAGTCTCGACCTTCAACAGGATCTTGAACTCTTACTCCGTCAAAGGCTTTGGGTTCGACATCGTGGCAGCAGCAGAGGCTGAGAGCAAGAAGGCAAAACGTCGGCGCAGTTCATCACGGGGCAGGGTCGACGTGTCTGGAGCCGTATCAAGCCAGGATCATCTTACGGAGTCTGAAGTCAACAATCCGGCGACTGCAAGGGCGATTGCGGTGGTGGGTCCGAGGGATGTCGCAAAATACGTGGTAGCGATGAGGGATCAAGGAGTGGTTCCGAACATAGTGACTTTGAATGTCCTGGTCAAGTTGTATCTCGAGATGGCCCAGTACAAGGTCCCAGAGGCGCCCTATTGGAAAACTGCCTTCAGGACCTACAACCCATCGAAACTTAAACCCGATCTGGTGACCAACAACACCCTGCTCGCTTATTACGAGAAGCATAGAGACCTGGCCACTATGAAGAGGATCTACGACAGCATGGCCGGCGTTGCTACCACAGTCCAACAGTCCAAGCGAGACCTGAGACTCCAGGCCAAGATGGTTCAGGACGGTGCCGTTGAAGTGCAACTTGAGGGCAAGGACGGTCAAATGCATCAGCAGCAGCAACAGCCTCATCTTCAGCACCAACTTCGACGTACTCGATCCAGCCGTGACATCTACACCTACAACACGATGCTTCACGCCCTTTTGCAACACGCCGTCGAATCCAAGGATATCGCTTCTATCGGGCAGTGCTTTTATGACATGGAGCAAGACGGCATTACAGCCGATACAGTCACCTTCAACACCAACATCCTCTATCATATTACTGGAGGCAATCTTTCGTCCGCCACCCAGGTCTTTCGCAGCATGGAGCGCACCGCGAAGTCGCTGAGGGAGTCTGCACTTGAGCAGGATATCGATCCGCTGTCGGACCCTCAGCTAGCCCGGACTCGTTCAAAGCCTGTCAAGTCCGCTTCCACGTATGCTACGCTCTCAAGTCTCTCACAAGATACCAACCCTCCCAGGGTTGTCTCTCCAAGTGTTTCAGGGAACGCGTCGTCCCCTCACGCCACCGTAGATCCTGCTCCTGCCCCTGCTCCCGACGTGGTGACTCTAACATCTCTTATCAGCGGCTTTGGACAAGCGAATCAGATGAAAAAAGCGACACAGTACTTCAAGGAGATGACGGACCGGTACAGGATTCAGCCCAACCTGAAGACCTACTCGACGATCGTGGCAGGACTTCATCGCACCGGAAACCACGAAAAGGCGGAGAAGGTATGGGATATTGTGTTGGAGGAGGACAGCCCGGCTCATCAAAACTCGTCCCCGACTTGGGATGCATCCGCGGTCGCCGATGACGATGTGGAGCAAGAGCCCTCAACAACTCTGACCATCATGGAGAGGAGGCAAGTGGAGGCACGGAGGAAGTTGTACAACGACTCTTTAAATGGATAGACAAGCATACAAGAACAAAGAGACCGTCCAGTGTCATTTTCTCGCCTTCATTTCTGTACACGAACAGCACTTTTTTATTATTTACGATTCGGCACTTTCATGTAAAAGAACAAACTCGCGTGTGCTAGCGCCAAATTTGAGTACATCTGAGAGCTTGAGTTCATAGTAGCGCGTGGGTGGGATCTTGGTGCCATTGACAAAAGTTCCATTTGCAGACTCTAGGTCGATAATGAAAGGCCTTAACAAGCGTAAGGAAAGAAAGAGAAGAGCTGTTAGAAAAAAAGCATTATTGTTTACGGTAAACAAACGAGTAAATGCTCCTGAAAAAGAGACCGGCGTCCTTACTTTGTGGTTCGCTTGGTCTGTCCCAAGGCATCCGTTTCAACTATCTGCCGGAACTGCAGGACAGCGTGCTGCTTAGAACAGGACGGGTGCTCGATAGGAACATCCACAACATTTCGATCCCGCCCAAACAAGAATGCGCTTTGGCGGTGAATATGGAGCAAATCTAGATGATAGCAGACATGTGTTAAAACTCACCCCAAGTATTGACGAGGTGCGATACTTCCCGGAACATTACAAACGGCCACCTATTCTCCTACCGATCTCCTTGTCGCCTTTGAAGACGTAGAGTCTCCACTTCTGAGCTGGTTTCCGTGCCTCTGGAGGTTCGTTGTACTTGAGAACGGTTCCATTCGCTGTCGTGTTTGTCTCAGCCGCTAGTGACCCAGAGAGTCCAAAGTTGGGCTTCTCCTTGTCCTCCTCAGCAATGACAGGTTTCTTTTTCCGCTCTTCCTCGTCTGCTGCTGCCATCTTGGAACCCCAGACGTCTGGCTTTCCTGATCCACCGCCTGGTGGTCCGCTTCGAAAGGTCGACTCGTGGCGAGGACCGCCTCCACGACGGCCGCCACCGCCACCTCTACCACCTCTCCCGCCGAATCCGCCACGATCATTGTCTCCTACTCGCCTTGCATCGCCGTTGTCGCCTCCACCTCCTACTCCCCCTCCCTTGACTGCGTTTCCTCCTTGTGGTCGATCAAATCTTCCGCGAGGCGATCGTGAGCGTGAACGGGAGCGAGAATGGGGTCTGCGTGAATAGGATCCTCCTGATGGAGGAGATATGGATCTGGATCTTGCCCCTTTAGATGACCGACCCCTCGGCGACCTTGAGCGAGAGTGCCTCCTCCTGTTACTGCTGCTGCCCCTGTTGTCGTCCGAATAATCTCTTCGTCTGCTGTATGGTGATCGAGAACGAGAGCGTGAGCGAGATTCCGATGTCCTCCTGGCTCCTTCCTTGTCCGCCCTTCCCTGTGCTGATGATGCCGATGCTGCTGACATGGGAATCCTTCGTCGACGATGTGTGGAGATGTGAATGGAAAGGTGGTTGGACATCTAATATCAACATGAGCAGCCCTAGCAAGGGGCGCCTGGTGCGTAGCGTGACTGTTAAGGTTGGGGTTGTGGAGGAAAAAGTCTATGGTCACGGTTGGCGGTTTATGATGATATGGCCTGCACTGTTGGTGTGGTATTGACAGAAAAACTTGGAGGTGAAGCACTCGTCAGCTGACACGGTCACGAGCCCCCAAGGCAACCAACTATGCAAGGCAAGAGAAGAAGCAATCATTAGGTTCGATATAAAAAAAAGGAACATTTTCATGCTTACCTTGGTCTTCAGCTTCTTGAAGAACTGCAAATGTCGGATGGGCCGACCGGGCTTCGATGTGAAGTTGCCGTCTCCAGCGACAAACAAGGGCGTGCTCTGTTGTTTCCTTCTCTTCACTTGCCCTTGATTCTACACGACCGGATGATTGCACCGATGGCCTTGTTTAGTGTAGTGCTCTGAGCCAACTTCAGGTTTTCTGTTCTTGACCTTGAACATGATGGAACCATAGAAGGCTCCAAGCAGCCTGTATACCACAAGTTCAGACAGGCAGTTTCGGCGCATGGAATTTCGCAGGCTCAATCATTTAACCGACTCGTCTTCGGTATCTGAAAACTGAGGAAACTCGGCGAGGAGAATGGAGTCCTCCAAACGGTCGATCCCTCTTTTGCGCTTGGCGGCGTTCAGACCTCGACGGTGGTGCCGTTCTGGTTCCTTCTGCGATGCACTGGAAATCGCCAAGTTCCTGACTCTGTTGGACGAGCGAGAGTCAAGAATGGCTGCCGTGTGGTGTAAGCTAGTCTTGGATCTATGGCCACAATCCAGTATACCCCAGGAGAGAGATGACCACGAAGCACCTCGTCTCTTGAAGGATACTAGGTCTTGATATCGCCAAGGAAATTATTGGTCGTCTTGGGGGGGGGGTAGATTCCAGCAAGGTGTTTCTTTTGGGCGACGTGGAAGGCGTGGAACTTGGCGTTAATACCGTCGAGTCGATGAGTGGTATTCTCTATAGTCCGGCTTGGCGCGAGAAAAAACACTTCCACGTGGATTAAAGGGAGGTGGTGTGTTAGGAGTACCCTTGCGGGTTATGTTTTTCTTGCTGGGGTAACTTATTCTATTTGAATGATACTGCGGCATCAAATGAAAGAGTCATGCGAGAGGACGATGAAAAGGGTCGGCATACATACCCAGGTGCAAGTGCAAGTGCAGAGATATTGTGTCCATTAGAGTCTAGACTTCATGGCATAGGGTCCATCTCCATTTCTCAAACAACAACGAAACGTGCTCTTGGGTACAAATTGTGATTCGACCGGAGAGATGGGCGACATTCGGAAAACCTTGTTTGCGATAGAGAGTCTGTCAGTAACATTGTTGTTGTCCTGGACAACGGACACACAACGGACACAGGCAGGTAGACCCACTTTTCTTTTTCTCTTCCATCCTTCCTTTTATTGTCCTCTACTTCTCCCGTCCGTTTTTTTTTGGAGTGCAACACATCCCATTCTCAGCTCTCTCATCATGACAACACTCCATTCCCCATCCCATCTGCCTCCACTCAAGGACCGCCTCAAAGAGATCTTCTCGACTTTTTTCAAGCTCGGCTACACAACATTTGGCGGACCCGCCGCACATATCGGCATCCTCTATGGCGAAATTGTAGAAAAGCGCAAATGGATTGCCAGCGAGCAGTTCACAGAACTCTTTGCGATCTGCCAGGCGCTTCCTGGACCAGCCAGTACCGAACTCGCCTATAGTTTGGCCCTTGTCCGTTCGGGCTTTTTGGCTTCTGTGTTTGCCTTCTTACTTTGGAGGTGCAGTGCAGTTGTCTTTTTTTTTTTTTGGTTGCCATTCCATGGTTAAAATTATTATGCCCCTCGAATTGTGTCTAACCAATGCTCCATTCCAATGAATGATATAGTGCTCCTGGAGCGATTGTGATGACAGTGGCAGGAATATTGATTGGCGATGTGAGCGAGACTATCCCTCTTTGGGCAACCCGATTGGAGCAAGGACTTGCAGCCGCCGCCGTCGGTTTGGTGGCATTGGCAGCATACAAGATGTCGACCACTCTGGCAACAGATAAACTGACCCGGATTTTGGCGCTTATCTCTGGAGGCGCCTCAGCATTATACACGGCCCCTTGGTTGCTGCCTGTTCTCATGATCGCTGGTGGATTGACAAGCTGGATCTTTGACGCCTATTTGTTCCCGCTATCGAATGGATGGAAAGAGAAACGAGCTCACCGGAAGGCACAGGGGGAATTGGACGGAAAGAAGGATGATCTGGAGCAAGGGCACGTAACCAATAAGGAGGCCGAAGCTACCGCATCTGCGAGTACTGAAGATCATTCTGAGGTGGATGCACCTGTCACCATCATCCAAAGTGCAAATGCAGATGCCGAAAAGACTCCCAGTGTTCTTGGCTCGATCAGGAGCAGGAATAAGGCCGAAGTTGCAACTTTGGATGGGGTCAAAGGAGACCTCGCCCAGGAATTCGAGGTAAAACGAGATGCCTAAAGCCATACTTCGAACAGGTATCCCAAAAGTACGATCAAGGCCTGACTAACAGACTTACGTTGTTTTCAATTCAATCGCAATAGCCTGAGAGCCAGTATCGACCATTGTTTACATACTCCAAAAAACTGGGCTTTTTCTTCTTCCTCGTATTCTTGGCCCTATTGGTCGCATCAATTCTCGTCCGCGCGCTCGTCCCAGAATCAACAACGGCATCATATGGACACCTGACAGCAACCTTTTACTTCACCGGATCCATCATCTTTGGAGGCGGACCTGTCATCATCCCACTCTTGAGAACCTACACTGTCGACTCTGGATGGATGAACGACAAGCAGTTCCTTGTTGGCCTGGCGTTGATCCAATCTCTCCCAGGACCCAACTTCAACTTCGCATGTTTTCTGGGCGCAGTGTCGATGGTTCGTGCAAACCAGAGCGGTGTTGTGGGCGCCATCCTGGGATACCTCGCCATCTTCTTTCCAGGCCTGATTTTGAAGAACGCCATTATTCCGTTTTGGCAGTCCGTGCGGGAACACAAGTCGGTCAAGATGGTGTTTAGGGGTGTCAATGCTTGCGCGCTGGGATTGGTCTTTTCGGCCACTTGGCTGTTGTTTGACCAGACGAACGGATTCGGAGGCAGCAGTGGGTACCATAGTGTCATTGCCAGTGCTGCATTTGTGGCCAATGGGTATTTGGACTTTCCAGCGCCTTTGGTCATCATCTTGGGTGGCGCTATGGGTGCCATTGAATATGCTGTAGCCGACCTTTAATACTATATTTAATTTACTTCTTAATAATACTCCTAATACAGAGCAGCGGGTGATGTCAACTCGCCTATACCATGTTAGCGTTTGAGCAAAGAAGCAAGAAGCGCAAAAAAGAGCAATGCACAACCTTTGTCTGCGGAGTCGGTCGGGTACCTCAGCAACACATGAAGACAAGGCAGTTTAGGCAGATGCTTGATGTCAGGTCAAAGAGTCTGTATGCACTCGCGCAACTCGATGTTCTTTGCCTAGCTCCCTCAGCCACCATTTTCCATCATCCATTCGAGGCCAGTTTTGCTTATCCGAATGTCGGCACCCTCAAATTCAATCGCCTCTAGGTTCTTCAACGCACCTAGCTGAGGACGATCCATTCTTATCCAAATCTCCAGTGTAGTGGGGACAACAAAGTAGGGCGCATCGACTACACTATCGCGCGCGTGTTGCAAAGGTAACCTGAATCCAGGCGCAGTCCATGTTGCGTTTAGAACTTTTAGCGTCGTGGCAGTCCAGGGTCCTTGGCCCACTGTCTTGGCTGTTGTCGACATTTCAAGGTGCTGTACACTCTGCTGGTTGTTATCACTCAGCAGTGACCTCACCCTTAATTAGTAAGGGGAGAAAATATTATTTACTAGTGTGTTAGATAACTATCGCTTCTCATCGTGCTCGGAGATGCGGACATGGTATGCTGATGTTGGGGCTGGACAGGGTCATGCTCAACCGGCTACGAATGCTCGCTTTCAAATTCCAAGGGGGGCTTGTGGTCACCGCTCATCTCCTTGGAGTGAATGGTCTTGAGAGGTCCAGGGAGGATCGACGAAGCCCTGGATCGCTTGCCCGACTGGACCACCAACAACGAGCTCACGACCTCAGAGTTCAGGAACGACTGAGCAACAACGCCAACAATGTTCGATACGGTCATCGAGGCGTGATGAATGTCGCGGGACGAAGGCTGAGGACGAAGAGTATGGCGAGATCGAAGGGCAGAGGTCTCTCCAAACGGGTTCTCGACATTAGTAGCCGCTGGGGTTCCGATTGGAGAAGGCTGGAAATGTTGGGCCGAGGTGCTGATATGCAATCCTTGAGATCCGGTGGCAAGGACAGTCGATGGCTCAGTAGTATGGGTGGAGGCGGCAGAGCTGAAGCGACCAGGCTTGACAGTCGATCCGCGTCCAAGAACTAAAAGGTCGCGAGGACCAAGGACAGACTTGGAGAACCCAATGGCATCTTGAAGAGTAGGCGCTTGGTGGACATAAACGTTATCTCCGACCTCAGTTCCAACGTCCAAAGTGCCACTTGTTCTCTTCTTGCTCGAACGCTTCTCGGCAAACACACGGTGACCAAAGTAGTCGCGAACCAATGCGCTGTTGTCGTCTGGAATGCTCGTTTTCTTCTCGTCGTTATCGTCTTCTGAAGTGATCGAAAGGCTGTCGACCTCAATGTGAGTCTCTCCCTCAACGCCGGACTGAGACGCCTTGTCCGCCTGGATTCGGACAATGAGAATGTTGCAAGCTCTGTTGTGACTCAATGACGAGGCAAGCTTGAGCGCCTCTTTATCATCCTGGGATCCGTACAGAGGCACGACAATGGTTATGAAGTGTCCGCCACCGAAATCTCTGCCGACAAAGACAGCAGTAACGAGGCCTGAGTCGGCAGCAGTACTGAGAAGGCGGCTGACCAAAGGTGTGTTGGAAGTGACAACGGGGCGGGGAAGGACGGCGTTCTCGCTTCCTTCAGCAATGTTGGAAGAAAGTTCAGGGAGCGAGCTCGAGTTCCATGGGATGATGATTACACCAGCACCGCTGTCGGTAGCTTCATCGCGGATACTGTTGGCAAAGTCATCGGGGTCGGTCGACAGGGTCATACGAGGTTGAATAAGGATGCTGTTCAGTTTGGCGAATGCCTGGAAAACTGTCATAAGAGCATCTCGACTAAGAACATCGGCGCGCTCAGTAGCTGCCATCAGGACGGACGAACTACGCTCGGACAGGTGCAAGAGACGGAGAGCCAACAAAGATGGTCCGGACTTGGGAGGGGCAGGCGCAAAGGTGACAATGTTGCTCGAAAGATCGTGGGCACCATGGCCAGAGATAGCGGATCCGCTGGATGCTGCCTCTTCTGACTTTGGGACGGCGTAGTGGAGCATGTCGAGGAAAGTCATCATCGCGGGCAGGTTTTGAATCTTGTCCAAGCACAACATAATACCCTTGTTGGTGATCTCGGCGTCCTCCACGTGGTCGTTGCGCTCAATGTCTCCGTTCTTGGCCTTCTCCTTGGCCAGGGCTCGCAATGCAGAGGCACGCTGGTAGTGGGGAGGGTAGATGTATGACACGGCTGGGGTGGTCATACAAGTGGTAATAAGACACATGGCAACCATAATGACAAAGACCTTGTCGTTGATAACGCCGGCATCGTATCCAATGTTGAGGACGATGAGCTCGATAAGACCCTTGCAGTTCATCAGGAAACCGATCGCGAGGGATTCTCTCCACTCCATTCCTTGAAGCTTTGCAGCACCAGTGCATCCAACAATCTTTCCAAAGCAGGCGACAAAAGTCGTCAGGATGACAAGACCCCAGATTCTGCCATTGTCCAATAGTCCGATCTGGGTCTTGAGTCCTGAGAGGGCAAAGTAGATGGGGAGGAAGATGACCGAAACCAAGTCCTCAATGCGTTTGGTCACGCCATCGGCAAAACTGGTATCGTTGGGGATAATGAGACCGACCAAGAAGGAGCCAAAGATGGCATGGACACCGATAATATCGGTGACAAAGGCACTGACCAAGACGACGACCATAGTGAACGCCATCATGGTCTGACTAGGCTCGTCCTCAGACTTGGTCTTCTTGATCATGTACTTGAAAAGGGGGCGGAACAGGAAGGCGAGGATCAGGATCCAAGCAATAGAGAGCAAGACGACGTAGAGAGGGGTAATCTTGCTGGCACTGTTGATAATCGACACGACGAGGGCCAAAAGGATCCAGGCAACAATGTCACCGACGGCACCGGCGCAGATAGTCAAGAAGCCGACCTTAGTAGTCAGCAACTTTTGCTCGGCAAGGATACGAGCGAGGACAGGGAAGGCCGTAATGGCCATGGCCACACCGCAGAAAAGCAGGAATTGACCAAAACCGACGTCGTTGTCTGGGCCCATCTCTTCGTAGAGAACGTAACTGACAGCAGCACCGACGCCGAGAGGGAGAACCATACCGGCTAATGAAATGCCAAGGGCAAACTTTGCACGCTTCATGACCAAAGAAGGGTCGAGCTCGAGGCCGACCAGGAAGAGGAAAAAGACTAGACCAATGTTGGAGACCAGGTTCAGGAAGGGAAGACTATCGGCCTTGAAGATGGTGGAAGCAAAGCCGGGTATGCGGCCCAAGACGGATGGGCCAAGCAGGATGCCTGCGATGACTTCAGAAATGACACGGGGTTGCTTGAGTTTCCGCAGGACAAAATGCAAGAGGTAGCATAGTATGATGATAATGGTGGCCTATAGCATTTGTACAAGTGTAGAGTGGATCTGGGGGTGATTAATTTCTCAATCGCAAAACTAGCAGACTAGATGGGTCTAGTGGGAGTTTGGTCCTGCATCAATGATCTTTTTACCTGGATGACGAAGAGCGGGAACGGGTTGGCCTTGTTGAAATCGGTCGGGTTAAGACCAGTGACAATACTACCTGCAAGGGTGTTGTTGTCGGTTGTGTGCACAAGATTGAGCAATAGTGGTTAGAGGATGGCCATTGGCACCAATGGGCTAAGAACAAGCACGATATCAATTGGCATGGAGACTTGCCTGCTGAGGTACCCATGGCGCAGTTATGAAGCGACTGAGAGGAGGTTTGCTTCGAGGGGTTGGACTTTTACTGGAACAGTCAATTGGTATCTGAAATGCAGCCTGCGTGGCGAAAGAGACAGACAGAGAAAAGAAGACGTGTTGTTCAGTTGAAAGGAAAAGTAAACAGAAGGAATGTATGCAAGAAGAGAAGAATGGCCAAGAAGGGAGGAAGAAAAAAAAGAAAAAGATCGAAAGAAAAGGAGAAGAGATGTGAAAATGGTGTGCCAGGGTGTGGGATAGATATGCAGAAAAGAAAGTGGGAGCGAAAAGCACACAATTGGCACACCCTTCATTTTGTTACTGTAGTCCTCTGGCCGCCCCTCACCTTTATTCGCGCAAGTTACCAATTGCCATTGAAGCAGGTCATTTCAATTATCGCCCTTTTTACATTCGTTACCGACAAAGCGATCCAGACCTGCCTCTCCCCTCCTCTTTCTTACTCTCACTATCCGAACTATTCGAACTATCCGGGAAGACGAGATGAAAAAAGGGGCGAACAGGGCACTCCTTTACCAACTGTGACAAATAGGATAGGGGAGGAGGAGAAGGAAAGAACGATTATTTCCTCTCTTCTTTCTTTATGTTGGTGCTGTTTCTTTTGTTTTTTTTATCCACGTACAAAAAGAGAGGCGCACAAGAGGAACACAAAACAAAGGATGAGATGGTGTTGCGGTTGACAAGATGAGCATCAGTGAGCGAAATGAAGTGCGTGGTCCATTCGCCTTTCGCTTTTTGAGTCCACATACTTGTGAGGGTGATACCGGATGAGGAGAGGTAGGTTGAATGAGGTTCGGGGGTGAGTGAGGCGAGGATGAGTTGGAGGATGAAAGAGGGGAGACGAAGGAGACTGAGAAGAAGAGAAGAGATGATGGAGAGGAGTTGGGGGAAGGAAGTAGAATAAGGGGTGTTGTGGAGGGATCCTTTCCATATGGGCGGATAGAGTTGTTCCTGCGTTCTAATTGGCTCCTTCTCTACTTCCACGTGCCTTGTCTCTTTTCTTCTTTCGTTCTTTATGCCCAGAGTTTGTTTCGTTCTTTCTCACTTTCCTTGCTCCTGCAGCTGTCATTAGGTTGCGCAAGAATATCATAGTCCTGAAAAAAGAAAGAAAACTTGTAGTTCTCCAACATGGCATGCAGGCGTGACCATCCAAGCAGGCCCCTATCCATCCCGCTTCTTTCGAGAGCAGACAGGGGCTAGTTTGTTCTTTCCATCGTCTGGTCTACTATCCCTTCGTCTGTTTCTGGAACATTTTTGTTCTCTCTCAAGAACGGTTAACGAGACCCCCTTTAACAATGCGAAAAATGGATTCCTCGCATGTCAGGGTCGATTGACAGCTGGTCCACCGTTGTATGTTTTTCTTTTGCAAAAGCGCTTTCAATGAATCCCTCTTTCTTTTCTCAAGCTTATTCCTTTCCAACGTTTCCCATTTCACTTCGCCCATTGTTGATCCATGCCCCGCAATCGTCGTGCTATTGTTGAAGAGGTTCCTGAGGTAGAGGAGGACGAGGTTGACACCAACGACGGCGCGGGGGAGGAGGAGACGGACTTCCCCATCACTCGTCGACCAGTCCAACCTCTATGACCTGGATCTGTTGGTTCAGCAAGGTGCCCCTATGCCTTATTAAGATCCGCAACTGTTACAAAGAATACCATGGTTTTTAAACGTACACTAACTAGAATGCAAGTTACAAATACTTATGAACGACAAAAAAAAAAAAAAAAAAAAAAAGTTGCGAACCTGGTGCCTGGTTCCTGGTACTCTCATGAAGTAACCCTCTTTTTCGCTTTGTTAACATATGGTCCTACACTTGATTTATGCCCAAAAATTTGTGGAACAAAAAAGTTCCAGAATCCTTGACAGTCGAATGGATACCTTATCTCTGGTGGACCCGAATGATGAATTTGCTCCCACCTGCATTGTTTTGTGTTCTCAAATGGCAACGCCTGCCGCTTTCCGTCACCACCGTGTGCATGTTTGTGCATGCATCAACAAAATAAAAAAATGAAAAATATGCTAAATCTCTTTGACCCAGTAAAAGCATATCATCCATTCTCCAAAAGGTACTCTTTTTTCATTGTTTTGCTTTCTTTGCCGCCATCTTTCGATAAGTGTTTGTTTTTTATCAAGAGCAAAGATCTCTTTTTCAAATTTGACAGTGTTGTCAAAAAATGAGAGATGGAAAAGAAATAAGAAATAAGAAATAAGAAAGATATAACCACCTCTCCCTTCGTCAAGTACCGAGAACAGCATGAAATGGGAAGATGACCACATGTCCATCGTTGCCTCTGACGCGCTTTGTTGTCGTGAAGACTATGGAGAGAGATAGGGTGGGAGTAAACTTGTAAGTTTTCAATGCAACTCCGCACCTTTTTTTACCCTTCTCAGAATTGGTGGCGCTTATCGTGGCTTGGGATAAACAAGAACCTACCATTGTGACTTCACCTTTTTGAGCACTACATGTGTGTGTGTGAAGCCGGTCCAACAACAACCGTTCATTACATCTTCAACCATCGCGTCAGTCGTTTCACCATCAGCCAACCAACGACCAACGACCAAACCAACCAGCCAAAACCACAGGGATTGTTGACCGGCAGCAAAGAGCAACTCGGGGCACAAGAACACTATAGAGACCATGGCAGCAATCACTCCAGGGACAATGCTGTCCTTCCTCGCTCACTCCTTCAAACCACAACGGCTCAGCTCACGGATAAGGCTTGCAACGGCATGTCAGTTCAGGCACACCGACATCATATCATCACACCTCTCCAGGAACAGCTTTCATTCAACAGCACTCCGGAATAGACCCGACCTCCACCATCAAAAGATTACGCCGCTTTCAACATATACCTGCCATGAATCGACTCCGTCATTATCCGTCTTTGATCGAAAACTTGCCGCCGTATGTCAAGTCCAACGCAGGGATCTTAGCGGCTTCAGTGGGTTTGGCAACGGAAAGGGTGGTGATTCAGGAAAGACCTCCAGCCTACCACCAAGCTTCAAGACAGGCAGCAAATGGGACATGCCTGCACGGCCCTCCGACACTTCCGCGACTGCACCAACCTCATTGTTGAAACGTCCTATTGTGCCGACCCCCAGGACGTGGGACTCGTTCAAAGGTCATCTAGCGACTGACCCTGTTTCTGTCGAGGACAGTCAGGCAAACATCGCGCTGAACCTCAAGAAACTTAACGCTATCTCCAATGGTACGCATCGGAAGAAGTTGTTGTTTGTCCTTGTGGCGCTGGTTGGATGTGATATGCAGACCCACTGGCAGCTAACACTTGTCGTTTCCGCTGTTTCTCGATGCTATAGTGACGAAGAAGAAGCAGGCTTACTCCCCATACTTGCTGATCTCCCAGCTGCCGTCGACTGTCATGCCGGACGATATCAGGAGATTGGCGGACTCGAAGGACAGCATCAAGGACATTATCTTTCACCGGAACCAATTCATGGAGTTCCAGAACAAGGTCACGGTTGTTTTCCGATCCGCAACTGACGCTGTCGACTTTATTACTCAAAAGTATGGAAAGTTCGTGGGTGGCCACAAACTCAACATGACCATGGTAAGCGAACGTGTAAAGAAGGTCTTTTCACACATTTTTGCTATATCAGGAGGTTTTGTGGACAAGGTTTTTGTCTCACCAGGACCTACAACTGGATGTTGGTTAACAATTGGACATGTACTCTTTCTTTTGTGTACAAAATAGCTCGACCCATACAACCCAAGGGACAAGCGCTCGATTCCACCCAACCTTCGATCAGAGCCATTCTCAGGGCATTTGGTACTCATTTCAGGACTTCCTGCGGCCTCCCGGCCGGACCACCTGAGGACCGAGTTCCGTCGGTTCCAACTCATGGACACAACTGAGGCCGCTATCATTCCAGTACCATCAAAGCGGATGTCCTCTTCGTGCCAATACTTGATCCGTCTCTCGAGTCGATCTGAAGCGTTCCGGTTTGTCAGAACATACCACAATACCTTCTTCCAGTTCAAGGAGTTCCGGAAGCGATGCCCCATTCGGACAACCATTATTTACTGAGCACTTTTGGATATTGTATATTCCGACGCTGTCGCTCACGTACAGGAATAAACTATTTTGCATAGAACGTTCATAGCGGTGTTGCTTTATTTGGGCGGATGAATATAACATGTTTTCTTTTCGTTACAAGAGCTGAAGAATAGCTATGATAGTGGCTAGAAAGACTACCAGCATCGACCGTTGAAGAGCCAGCGGTCCTGCAGCACCCGAAAACTCGTCGTATTTCTCTGGGTGTATCACGCGATCTTTGTGTACATAGTTTGAACAACATTGGCTGTTAGTTACTATGCAAATAGGGGGAAAGTGCGGACAGTTCTATCATGTCAGCCAAACGAACAAAAGAAAGAGCTTTGTACCTCTACAGTCGAGATTACAGCGATAGGCCAACGTGGTGGATGTCTCGACGGATGAGTTGGGAGGACAAGCTGAGAACTCGTTTGGTTGCACAAGGCAGACACCCATCAGAGTTGGCGCGGTAGCAATAGGGAACAGACCATCGAACTGGTTGTAGTTGATCACCATGTACTCCATGCGAGTCAGATTCTGGAGCTCGACTGGTAGCGGGCCTGTAAACTCATTGTGTGCCAGGACCCTATTGAAAGCAAGGAAGGAAAGAAAGTAGCCCAAGCGTCAACATCATACCTATAGGGATCGGATATATTTTTGAGCACCAAAATACTAGAGAGAAAGAAAAGAGGAGCGCATTACAGTCGTGTTAGGCTGATCATGTTGCCGATCCTGGGTGAGAGGTCCCCACCCAGTTTGTTGTCGGGCAAGTCTAGCACTTTGAGGTTCTGAAGATCAAAAAGCGCATCGGGGAGCTCTCCCGAGAAATGGTTATCTGCCAGACTCCTAGAAAGCGCGTTCAGTGTTATCACAAAAGAATGTTAACCAATGAATTCAACGAGAAGGGAGTGTCGATGAATCATCCCGGGGAAGAGGAGGGAGATGTACAGGAATTGGAGTTGCTTGCAGCTGCCAAACTCTTTTGGGATCCGACCCTTGAACTCATTCGCGCGCGCAGAACTAGGTAAAAAGAGTTGGTAAGCTGCTTATAAATTTCGTCTATCGTCAGGCAGTAATACTAATACAGCACAAAAAGAGCAAAGAGTCTACTGCTTACAATCGCAAAAGACCAGCAAGAGCCCCAATCTCACCAGCAATGTCCCCTGTGAACCCATTCTGGTTGATGTTAATCACGCGCAGCTTAGTGAGCGATGTGAAGAGGCCTTCAGGGAGCAGACCGTCAAAGTCGTTATTGGCAATCGATCTATGACATTTGGAGAAGAGAGAATGTAAGTGTCGGATATATCGTGGACCAAAGACGAAAAGAAAGCAGTACTCATGGCTTGTTTTGAACGCACAGCTCGGTCAGTTGCTTGAGCTTCATGACTTCTTTGGGGAGTGGACCTTTCATGTAGTTGTTCTTGATGACACTGAGACGACGCAGGCCATTGCAGTAGTATAGATAAGAGTTGTAACAGCACAAAGCAAAAAAAAAGAAAAGTGAATAAACAAAGACAGTAAGAGGAAGGGAGGCAGTGATCAACGATAACAGTAGTAACAGTTTGACTCCAAACAAACAGTCAACAACATGCAACACATACAGCTCTTGAATGTTCACCATCTTGGTCACTGCTACGGGAAAGTCGCCTGTGATCTGGTTGGAGCTCAGGTCCCTAGATTGTGGCCATCCAAAAGTGCACAGTGAAAAAAGGAGAACATGGTTCAGTGCACTGTTCATATCGCTCAAAGGATGGGTTAAAAGCGCCACAGCTTGTGATAAGGTGGACCCTACAATCGTCTAAGGTGGGAGAGCTTGCTGTAGGACTCGGGGATCGTTCCTGTCAGGTCGTTGTTGCTGAGGTCCAGGATGAGTAAATTCAGTAATTCGCTCAGTTCTTCTGGGACGGGGCCCGTCAGACCGTTGTATCCTAAATGACTGTAGCATCAATGAGGGATGAGCATGCTTTTTTGACAGCAGACACTGAACACAACATGTCTGATATTTTTTCTATGGATAACCAACTTACAGCTCAATGATGTGCCAGTCATCTTTGACATGTCCCCGGGGACTAGGCTTTACGGGGTTGCGCACACGAGGGCCCCCATAGTCGTCGTAGTTATCGTCGTCCTCGTCATGACCATCGTCATTGTAATTCCCGTCCGGATTTTGTCCGTTCTCGTTGTTATCATCGTCCGGTTGGTGTCGATTGTCTACATCACCAGTGCCATGCTCATGGCCTCTATGTCTTCCATGCCCCCCACGATGGGGGTTGCGGTCATGATGATAGTATGGCGGAGGAATTCTTTTGCTCAGGTGAAGCACTTGATCCCGTTGTACTATCCTGGGACGATGAGCTGTAGCGGTTGCCACTGTGTAGCGACTACTGACCAGGTCCTCATCATACGGTGGCCATGGCGGAGGAACAACTCCGTCGGGTCCGATACAGACTACCCCAAACCAACCACAGCAGTTGTCCGGGTCCAATGTTGGTGAGGGATGGAAAAGAGATCCTTGCAGTGGATCGCTATCATCATAGTCGTATGCTGGAGGCGATTGTGGTGACTGACTTACCGGCACCGCGTTTCCCTGACGAAGATCCGACGAAGTCGAAGGAGGGTGGTTTATTGTTGGAGGTCGGGGCAGCTGAGGAGCAAAGTCGTTGTCGTCATCGATGTTGTCTGGTGGAATGTACTTGTCTCGCTTGGAATCAGACCGTTGGGCGCGACGACGGAGATCTGCGCCAGGCATGACTCGGTTATCGTCTCCTCGGAATTGACCCCGCGGAGAGCTGGTCGGGATACGAACGCTGTCGACATACTGCCATCCATCCTGGTTACTCCAACTGTCGCCTCCAGAGGAGTTGTAGAATTTGCGGAGGATCTCGCATGATGTTTTGAGAGGGATGTGGACGAGGTTGAGGGCGATGGCTGCTCGGTTTCGAGTCTTCCCGTCTTCTTTTTGTTTTGCGGTGGCTGTTTCTGTGCTCTTTGCAGGAGTTGGTGTCGCTTGCGATCGAGCTGTGGTAGAGGTAATCGGTTGTGAGGCTGGTGAATGGGTGCTGATGATGGGAGTTAGATGAGAGGGTGGAGGTGGAAGTGAAGGAGGAAGTTCTTGAGGCTGGGAAGGGAGTGATGATGGTTGGATAGTTGGTGGGAGGTCTGGACTCTCTGGTACGGAGGTGTTGGGTTCTGTTATTGGAGAAGAGGGGGGCAGAACAAGTGGTTCATCTGCGGTCACCGGCGATAGCAAGCACAAGAGGAGCGCTGCTAGAAGACCTAGTCTCCAATAATGGCGGATGTGGAGGGTCATGTTTGGAGAAAGAAGAAGATATGTGGTAGTAAGGCGGAGGTGGAACGAGATAGAAACGCAGCGCGGCCTTTTCTTTTATAACGTCAATAAATGTAGTAAAAGGGAGCGAAAGACAGTTAAGAGAGTCAACATAGAAGTGAATAGTAGACGCGTATTCATCTTTATCACACTCGTTTTATTATGATCTATGCGGCATAGTAAAGTGCCCCATCCGGCTTGTCTTATCGATCTATCTATCCCCCTGAGAATTTTTTTCCCCCCTTTCTCTCTTTCCCTTTCTCACTTTCCTTTTTTCTCATTCTTTTTTGTACCCTTCTTCCCCTCTTTTCTTACTACCATTCTTTCCTTCTTTCCTTTCGTTCGTTGTTGTTTTTTCTATTCGCGACACTCCACCTTATTGAGGCCTGTGTGCAGACACGACTCTTACCTTGCTCTTAAAAAAATAGTCCCTTGAGCGCAACGCCGCCTTCTTCTCTCCACTACTGTCTCAAATCGAAACGGTGTCCTTCGTCCCTTCTCTAATTTTACTTACCTCTTTCTGAATAAAACTCCTGCGTCCTCCTTCGAATCTAGTCGTCTTTTACTCATTTCATTCAAGTCATCCATTCGCCGCCATGGCCTCACCTGTTGCAGCTTCTCCATCACAGGAACGGGTGCTCCATATCCCTGAGCTCCTGGAGGCCATAGGCTCGCACATGGTCGTCCGAGGCCTCCTCGCCTGTATCCGTGTCTGCAGCTTCTTGGAGCGAATTCTTCATCGCGACCCTCTGGAACACCATCGGCGCCAGCCTCTACGCCTGGCTAAGGATCCTCCGCGGAAGCGAGAATTATCGATATCCCCTGAACGAAGACTGGCTACAGTGCATCTTTGCAAAATACGGGAAACACATCCGGCACCTCACCATCCGCTGGAGGATCCTGATCGGTATCGCGTACTTGGACAGAGCCTGCACCGACCTCTTTAACATCAGGATTATGGATATCAAACAATACCGTACCTACAATTTAAAAGACCACCGTGAGCCAAATCAAGTACTGAACCCCAGCGGCTTCTACGTGCGACGATTCCCAACACAACGACATTCCCACTGGGTCACTGGAATAGTGCTCATCCCGGAACTCGAGGGCGTCTTTGGTCCAACAGCCATTCTGCTGAAATCGGAGGAACGTCAGAAGCGGGACTGAATGACCCAACAGTACTTTTGGATACTCCTTCGATGGAATCAAGGTCTTCGGTTCGTCTCTTTGTATTACGACCTGAACCTCCTCTCTGAGATAACGTTGCTTGCGTTCGTCTAAGACACCCTGGACATGCTTCTGAGCCTCACCTCACTGGAAACCTTTCTCTATCTCCTCGACTACACAATTCTAAGGTGGGTTCCGAGTCTCCATAACTACACATCATTGTCTATCGTCTGGATGCTCTCCGCCAGTCTAGTCGGAACGTTTTGCCGTCCTTCGAGCAAGTTTGCTAGCTGACCGATGGCGACTCGGTCTACTGTCAACACTACCCGAAAGACGACTTCACCTCCTATGCCTCGCCAAGGCTCAACTCTCAGGATTCCATCTTCTATCCTTGTCGGTCTCTTTGCATCTTAATGCGATCCAGAACATATTCAATGCAAAGTACATCTCCAACGTCACCTGGATCTGCGAGGGACTAGAGGTCTTCCGGTGCCAGATTGTTGGTCTACAGCGGTTGAACCAGTGCGGACATTCAATCTTCAGCTACATCGCCGAGTCTGGACTGGTAGAAGAAGAGTGCTCCAAGGAGGAGCAAAGCGTCCCGGAGGAAGTTCAGGCATGCAAGCACTTGCACGAGGCTGTCTACGGCCAGCTGAGTTGACTCACAAGCTTACAGTCCTGGATCTGGGATACGAGTACCCTCATATCAGCATCTACTGGAAACAATACACCGTTGGCGGGAATGAGTACCGCGACTTTGGCGAAGTGATTAGAAACATTTTGCACTTGACCTTGGCTTCGGGTCTGGACCGGCTGTCGACTCTAAAGAACCTGCAAGTGTTTGAGTTTGAGGGTGCAGACCTGCCTGAATTGGAATGCATTTCCGAGCACTGGCCAATGCTGAGAGTTAAGCGTGGACTCTAGAAAGATCGTTTTGGATAAATCAAACCTGACAGGATGCGGTGCGAAAGGCGATGCAATCCATCCGCCCAGATATACGAGTAAATATATATATATATATATATATTTTCATTCAGAGAAATTTGTTCGGTATGTTTGCAATCCTGGAAGCAAATCCAAAAGTCGCTGTCGGTCAAGAACGACCACATTATTCTCAAGTTCACAGAATTGTAGCAAGGGTCCCAAGATCTCATAGATAAACTGTGGGTCTTTGATAACACATAGGCGATTGAGCCCTCCGTCCAGTCGCAGACTCCTCAGACCGAGGTTTTGTCGCACTAGCATCCAGAACCGCTGCACAGTCTCCAAGTCTCTCTTCTGCTGATCGGGTGTACGGTCGTTGGCCTTCAAGGGTGCCAGCATCCCTTCGAACAGAGGCAGCAAGGTCTTCCCTGTCTGGGCGGTCGGATTCCCGGGTCGGTATCTTGTCGCGGTTTGACCCATAATTTGGTTACTATACCACCTTTGCTCCCGCTCTTCCTCCTCGGTGATGTTATCGCTGACATCAAACGTCGACAGGACCTGGACGTTGTTACAGCAACTACTGCTGTCGCTGGAGATATCGACCAGGATCTTCCAGGTGACAATGAGGTGTCGAATCAGATATCCATGCTTTGAAAAGATATCTCGCAGCCAGGTTTCATCCTGTTCCCCGAGAGAGTCTTCCGAGTCGTAGAGAGACAGGATGGTGGGCCAAGCGTACTTGCGGTCGTCGATAGTGTGCCATAGGGCTGGGAGGAGGGTCTTGTGCCAGAGGTTGCAGACTTGGATGCAGGTGAGGAGGTCTGGAGGGTCTAGATGGATGGCGATGGCTTGCAGGATTTCGGGCATCATCAGAGAGTTGTTGAGAAAAGAGTTGAAAGCATGAAAAATAGGGGGATAAATGATCACAGGATGTGGCGGTGCTATACCTACTGCGGCCTTCAGTTTTCCAACTGCAGTTGTAAAAAGTACAAAATCGACCAACACATTCCATTAAAGACGATGGAGCTTGGTCAAAAGTCGGTTTATTTGGGCAATGTCAGCGATACAAAAGCTTAACTGCTTCATGAACAACATCACTCCTGAGAGTCCGCATATAGGTCCGAAGCTCCTCATAGCTGTCGACCGGCCGTTTGCCAAATAAAGGCTTCCTGCACTCATGAATCCCACGCATCACTTTCAGCCGTGGCCAATTCGTCCCCATCCATGCCAGCTCACCTCTTCCGATCCTGTGATCCAAACTCTCGAACCCAAACACCTCCAAGTCAGTCAGCACTCCAAGGCGGTCCAGACCAAAATCAAGAGACAGCTCCAAGGTATCGGCGAATGGACTTCCATAGTCGTAATCCCTTTGGGCGGCTTCTTCTTGTCCAGGCAATGAGTACCCAAAAAGAAGTCCAGGTTGCGGTACTCAAAGCCCAAATCAATGGTTTGTAGACGATTTAGGGATGCAAGTCGATCGAGCACTTGTTGTTGTATATCTCTTGATCGTTCCTGTTTCCTAAAACCTGCTTCCTGTTCGTCCTTCAAAGTCGAACTGCCCGTCTCCTGAGTCCTGATGGATCTCTGTTCGGTAGATGTCAGTCTTGGTACTCCTCGGATCTGGCAACGAAAAACCACTAACTCCTCGCAGACGATTGGGAGCGTGATCATTTTCTCCGCGTCGATTTCATGATGGATCCCATCAAAGACCTTGAGGCGAGGGCAGCCCGAAAAGAGAATGCTCGCAGTGCCCATCTCGAGCAGCGGTCGGTTTATGTACTCCTCGTGAAGCGACTCTCCATTGGTGGCCTCAAAGATCTCGAGCATAGGACAGTGGTGAACAAGAGCCCATGCGATGGTGGTTGTGAGTATGTTGATGCGGAACTCGGTCAGATGCGGTAGCCATGGCAAGACGTGGTCGGCAATATGTTGGTCTTTGGTGTTGGTTTGGTGGTGGAATCGAAGGACACGTAGTCTACTCGGGATGTTGTTGAGAATCCTGGGACTAACCACACAAAATTCCGAGCGGTTGCTGAATCCATGAAAGCTGAGGCGGCCGAGACGAGGAAGGTTGTTCAAAAGTGTGAAGAAAGTGCGGCTCTCCATGTAGCTGTCCACATTCAATGACTGCAGTTGAAGATATGGTGTCGTCAAGAGAAAATTACTGCTGTTGATTGTTACTGCAAAGTTGCAGGTGTGCAGTTTTGGGGCAAAGTCCAGAACGCGACCGAAATCGACGGCAAGAAAGTCGCTCTCGAAGGTGGCCAGCTCAGGTAGCGTCCTCAAGATCTGGTAGATACACGAAATGTCCTTAATGCCGGCAAGGTTCTTGAGGGATTGGTCCAACTGAAGTCGTTTCAATCCAGGGTTGTGAGTTACCAGCAATAAGAGCTTTTGAATAGTCTCCCAGTTCTGCTCCTGCTCGCGCACTGTGCTCCGCCCGGCAGATTTTGGTGTGAGTGCATCTGTAAAAAGTGGAGACAACAAGACCCTCCGAGCAACTTCCGCGCAGCCCGACACAAACGGCAGTCCATGCCCATCATTAACCAGGCTCATCCTGTGCTGAAACTCGATCTGCTTTCGCCTAGACTGCCTCACCCCAATAAACGACGTCGAGATGGAGTGAAGCTGTGTAAACGTCCCAGTGTCGAAGGCGCAGTCGATCAGCAGGGTCCACGATACCGAAAAGTGGCGAACAAGGTGGCCATGTTTGTCAAACACTTTCCTGATCCATTCCTCGTCCTTCTTCCCCACGGCGTCCTCGGAATCGTACTCGCTCATGATGATCGGCCACGAGTACTTGGAGTCGTCGAGAGTGTGGTAGAGGGGCAAGACAAAGATGTCGTTCCAGAGTCGGCAGACTTGAACGCAGCTGAGTAGGTCGGGCGGGGTTAACATAAATCCAATGTGGACCAGGATTTCTGGAAGATGGGGGATATCGGTTGACCTAAGGCTTGAAGAGTTTGACATGATGGGGTTAGGACGGTGGGAAGGATGGAGGTGTGCAATGCGAAAAATAAGAATGATAATGGAAGGGGAGGCGATATGTCCCTTGCGTCTGACATTTACCTCACCGTAACTAGGATAATGTAGATGCTAGATAGAAAATGGGAAGCACGGTGATTTGTGTTCTTTGCCCCTTTTCAGAGACACTTGCTCCAACGATCATTTCAGTGTGCGTGTATTTTTTGCTTTGAGCGAAACTGGTGTCTATTAAGGAGCAACAAACCAACAGCCTATATCAACAACTGCAGGCGCAACGATCGTTTGATCAACCGCTATCGGACCTCCTGATTTTGCAACAGAATGTGACGAGAGGAGCTGGGACAAGTTGAACGTCTGGTCGAAGTGCGAGCATCTTCTCCCTCAGCCTTATCCTACATGTATCAGTGGTGCCTCTCGAAACAGTTCTTTCCCAAAGTCCATGCATAGTCCTCAATTTGGGCCACTTGGTCACCATCCAACGCCAGCTTCCCCTCACCAATCCTGCGATTCACGCCCTCAAAGCCAAAGACCTCGAGCCGAGAGAGAGTGCAGACAGCAACCCAAATCCTGCGCCTAGACGCAGGTCCATATTATCGAACATTGGTGTGCCTAGGGTTGCTGCACTAATGTTGCCACTCTCATCGTAAAAGCTGACGGAACGCTCCACAACACCCAAATCGACACGCGATTCGATCAAGCGACCTTCGTTGCTGATTTCGACTCTGCCAGTAGTCTCGCATAAACCGTCCGTTCCTGGTACGACGATGGGTCCACGTCCAACTCGATCATCCTGTCTAGGATACGTTGCTGTCCTGAATCCAATCGTTTCACCTTGACAACTTGGCACCGAAGCGTCTCGAGATTCGTCTCACAAGGTTATACAGCGCCAATGAGGCGGCTCGCGTCAATGGGATGATGCATCGCATCGATTTCCATAAGGTTAGAGCAGCCGTCGAGGAGAATGCCAAGGAATAGGGCGCCCAAGAATGCGCCGCATGAACCGGCTCACCCCAAAAGGCCTCTTTAGTTGATTGAAGACAAGAGCAGTATGCGACAAGTCCCCGAGTAACTGTTGCGGAGAGCCAATAGCAACGAAACTCGGTGAGGGCCGGCAATCATGGGAGGAGGACAAACGTGCCAATGTATTCCTCCATAGCATCCTGACCATCCCGGAAATGAAGAATGCGCAGTTGACTGGGTTGGTTGTTGAGGATCTCCTTTGTGTCCACAGTAGCAGCCAACGTATGTTGGAGTCCTGCGACAAATAAATGCTGGAGGTGAAGAAGTCGACTAAGGAGGAGGGAAAAGACCTTGGTGGTGATGGCGTGGTGTGCTGTGAGTAGTTGAGGTTGTCGAACGTGCAATCTGGAAGATTGGACTTCTCGTCTCATATATCTGCAGGGTTGGAGATCCAGTGAACTCGTTCTGTCGTCGATTCGCTTCAGACACGAAAAGGATGCCCGGACATTGTAGACCACGCTGAGGCTGCCTTGACAACGCCTTTCCACTTTATGGACAGGTTGTGAATAAGCCGTCCATGTTTGAAGAAAGCAGCGAGGATTCAGTCTTCGTGGTTGTCCCCGGCGACGTCCTTTGAATCGTGGCCCTTCAATATTCATGGTCAGGAATAGATCGAGTCATCAACCGTGTGCCTGAGGGAGGGAATGGAGCGTTGTGCCGGCAGAGCTGGATGGCGGAGAGGAGGTCGGGTGGCGACAGGAATGAACGAGCGATGCCATCAAGTTCTCGAGCTGGAGGAAGGGCGGATGGCGCGGTGCATCAGTTGCGGACATGGTGTTAGTTGCGAGGAATACTGCGTGAGAGGGGTGTGAAGTCGTTTCGAAGAATCCAGGCACACATAAAAAAACGTGATATCCCTTCGTTTGTCTCTCATGCAAATTTCAATGATATTTTTCATTTATCGAGGATTACAATAAAATGGGTTGAGAGACCAAACCTGCCGATCTAAAACAAACGTAGCGTGCTTTTTTAGGGTGCTGTCGTCCAGGTTGCTATCTCATAACCATCATCCCCTCCTCCCATCATATCCTAGTCTCCACTTCACAATCCTCATTCATGCCCGAAAAGATTTTGCCCAGCCCAACTAACAACTCTAATATCGAAATCCTTGGATCCTTTGATGTCCATAAGACGCCATTTACGAATGAACCAAATGAGTTGCTGTTCTCAATATCTCGCCGTCCTCAGGAGCTGTTTAATGATGATGACATCAGTGATGATGAGCCGTCGACACAAGGAAAGGTCGAGGATGGTTGCCTATCGTCTTCCTCTTCCTCAGCGCAAACAAGGATGACTGACAAGAAGATTGACAGCAAACCATGGACTCTCCCACCGCCCCCGGACTTCAAGAATATCTTCATGCACACAAAGGAGGAGCACGCGGCACAAGCTGATGTTCCACTCGCATTTCAACTCGACGGCGAACTTTCACCCTTGACCCTTTTCACGCTCTTTTTCTCGGATTCGGTATGTTCACAAATTGCAGTCAATACCAACGCTTATGCAGTATCAAAAGGAGCTGGAGAAGTAGAAGGGTCACGCCACTGGGAGGATACGACCTTGGGCGACATACATATATTCCTAGGCATCCTTGTCTACATGGGCATATTCCGACTACCCTGCGTCGAGGACTACTGGTCAACAAACCCAAACTACCCCCAACATTCGATCGCTCACTTCATGACCCTTGTTCGCTTCCAACAATTGAAGCGTTTCCTTCACGTCTCCCACCCAGACCTACTGGAAGAACATTGGTACTCAAAAGTAGAGCCTCTTTCGACCAAACTCGCTACCGACTTCGCTCGTTACTACGTTCCCTCCACCAATGTGTCCATCGACGAGATGATTGTTCGCTTTTCAGGAAGGAGTGCTCACACCGTACGCATGAAGGGTAAGCCTACCCCGGAAGGCTACAAGATTCTCGCTTTTTGTCAAGCGGGATACACCTATTCCTTCCTCTACACCTCTCGCATCAAATCCATCATTGGCATAGACAGGATAAACGGGCTTACTCCAACCTCTTCCGCTGCTGTTCGTCTCGCCAAATCACTCCCCTACAAGACTCGTCCATTCAACATCTACATGGACAACTATTTTTCCAACATCCCGCTTTTCAAGCACCTACGTGGACTCAACATCGGCGCTTGTGGTACCACCCGCATCAACTCAGCCCGCTTCCCTGACACTTTGAAAGTGGGTAAGAGTGAGAAACTACAATGGAATACCCTGACAGGAGTTGTTATCGACAAACAGGTTCTTGCCGTCGTTTGGATGGATAATGCATCCGTCACCATGCTGAGTACCATCCACAAAATCAACACGGATGATGACTTCATTGAGCGTATTCGACGCTGCCCTCGCAACACTAGCACTAACGCAGCCAATGCTCGGGCAATATTCAATGGCAAGCCCAGAGCGGCACTCAGAATCCCCAAGTTGATTGATGACTACAACCGCAACATGAATGGCGTCGATGTCAGTAACCAGTTCAGGGCATATTACAGCACCCAATTAACTGTGTTCAGGACATGGATGCCTCTCTTTTTTTGGATTCTCGACACCACCATCATCAACGCCTATCGAAAATCTATGTCGTCCAAAAAGGATCCCTTTCTCACAAAACTTTCTGTCTCAGGTTGGCATGGGATTTGATCAGGAAGGGAGCAGAAAGCAAACAGCACATGGACTACAGCAAACGGGCACGAGTTCACAGAGCCACCAAACCAGAACCAACCAAGAAGATATATGTTACCAAAAATTGCTCTGATCTGCCCACCATCCGTTTCACCCCAAGACCCCACTCACCCATAATTCTCGACCAAAAATCCAACTGCTTTTCTGTCGCTTCAGAGCCACTGTCTTCGACGACAAAAACCACGATAGGAAAACTCAAACAGTCATAGCCTGTGAGATCTGCAATGTTGCCTTGTGTATGTCAAAGGCCCGCAATTGCTTCAGAGAATTCTATAAATCGTAGTTGTAGTTGACACCATAACCAGCAAGGAGAAGCACCCCGCTGATACTAATGAAGAACAAAAAATAAAGGCCCTAAAACACCCCTTTTTAGATTGTTAACATATGGCGGTGCATGTGACTAGCACGAATTTTGACGGTTAAGGGTCACGCCAAAAAAAAAAAAAGACCGCCTGTCGCGTCGCGTCGCTGGGGAGCAAATAAAATGTCCTTGGGCTGCCTTTTCCCACTCCAACACCTTTGCCAAGTTCGCTCATGGAATCCTAAGTGGACATCGTTGATCAGGACAGAGATCCAAACCAGAGCTACACCTAGTCTTCTGTAAGTGCATCGCTCTCCGTCTATTGGCGTCAGCTTGGATGACCAATCAATACCAGGACCTCGCTAACCCCATGGCCGACTTTACCTCATTCTGTCAACAGATCAACTGCTCACGCGCCAGAAACCTTGCCACAGTAAGCTGACTTTTTGTGATTGGCAGCCAACTCTCACCCTTTAAACCATAAGGAATGTACTGACGTCATTGTCAACAAACAAAAAAACCGATTAGACTCAATCGACCGACTTCTGACATCCAATCACTGCGACCTCCACCCCACCCCTCCACACACACACACACACACACACGCACACGCACACATCCGTACGGCTCACGCCCCTGCTTCATTAAGGTATTATTATGTTTCAAATCCGCCGACATTGTCCGCCCAATGTGGTGTTTGTTTCCATCTTCTGATGAGCTTTTCTTCATTCTTTCCTTTACAGTCAGTCATGGGCGTCAACGGACTCCCAGGAGAGATAAAGAACGCGACGGGCATTGCGCCGGCGAAAATGAACGGCAAGGAATTTCACGTCGACATGAACGGTACCTACTACGGGTTGATGAAGGCGCGAGCCTACTCTGTCGTACAAAAATACACGACCACGCTGACGCGCGACACCGAGCCCGCTAACCTGCACATGCCACAGATGGAGGATGCGCCAGAGCGACC